GTTCCCTTGCGTTCTGATTAAACTCTGAAACTCCTGAAATCCCTCACTCAAGAGTTCTTGCTCTGCTGCCGAAAAATACCGAGCCGAGCGCGCTCCTTCGACATTTTCGCCGACCAATCAGAGGGTTGCCGATCACTGTTTCTGCTATCGATGCGTATCCCCTTTTACGGCACCCAGTGATCGCACATTACTTCATCCAGCTGTACTAATCGTCAACAGCAGGTGTGTTCGGGGAACCGGATTAGCGCGCTCACGGTTAGCGCGATGGTTTGGTCTTGGATGTTTCATTTGATCTTGGATGTAGTAAGCGACGTACGAAGCACAGGGCCCAGGTTTGCACACACAGTAGCTGGTATTTTGGCCCATTCCTCCATGCAGATCTTCTCGAGAGCAGTGATGTTTTGGGGCTGTCGCCGAGCAACACGGACTTTCAACTCCCGCCACAGATTTTCTATGGGGTTGAGGTCTGGAGACTGGCTAGGCCACTCCAGGACTTTCAAATGCTTCTTACGGAGCCACTCCTTTGTTGCCCGGGCGGTGTGTTTTGGATCATTGTCATGTTGGAAGACCCAGCCTCGTTTCATCTTCAAAGTTCTCACTGATGGAAGGAGGTTTTGGCTCAAAATCTCACGATACATGGCCCCATTCATTCTGTCCTTAACACGGATCAGTCGTCCTGTCCCCTTGGCAGAAAAACAGCCCCATAGCATGATGTTTCCACCCCCATGCTTCACAGTAGGTATGGTGTTCTTGGGATGCAACTCAGTATTCTTCTTCCTCCAAACACGACGAGTTGAGTTTATACCAAAAAGTTCTACTTTGGTTTCATCTGACCACATGACATTCTCCCAATCCTCTGCTGTATCATCCATGTGCTCTCTGGCAAACTTCAGACGGGCCTGGACATGCACTGGCTTCAGCAGCGGAACACGTCTGGCACTGCGGGATTTGATTCCCTGCCGCTGTAGTGTGTTACTGATGGTGACCTTTGTTACTTTGGTCCCAGCTCTCTGCAGGTCATTCACCAGGTCCCCCCGTGTGGTTCTGGGATCTTTGCTCACCGTTCTCATGATCATTTTGACCCCACGGGATGAGATCTTGCGTGCAGCCCCAGATCGAGGGAGATTATCAGTGGTCTTGTATGTCTTCCATTTTCTGATGATTGCTCCCACAGTTGATTTTTTCACACCAAGCTGCTTGCCTATTGTAGATTCACTCTTCCCAGTCTGGTGCAGGTCTACAATACTTTTCCTGGTGTCCTTCGAAAGCTCTTTGGTCTTGGCCATGGCGGAGTTTGGAGTCTGACTGTTTGAGGCTGTGGACAGGTGTCTTTTATACAGATGATGAGTTCAAACAGGTGCCATTCATACAGGTAACGAGTGGGGGACAGAAAAGCTTCTTACAGAAGACGTTACAGGTCTGTGAGAGCCAGAGATTTTCCTTGTTTGAGGTGACCAAATACTTATTTTCCACCCTAATTTACGAATAAATTCTTTACAAATCCTACCATGTGGATTCATGGATTTTTTTGTTCACATTCTGTCTCTCACAGTTGAAGTGTACCTCTGGTGCAAATTACTGACCTCTGTCATCATTTTAAGTGGGGGAACTTGCACAATCGGTGGCTGACTAAATACTTTTTTGCCCCACTGTAAAACCTTAGCATACGCAGCACGCAGCAGCTACAAGGATGGTGTTCTTATTCTATTATTATTACAGTGGTTGAAACATCATAAGTCTGCCTTCACTTTGTAATCCACATCAGTCCTGCTGCAAATCCCACATTTCCACAGCGTTCCTGTGACTTTTGGTGTTCTTTAGGTCAGCACTATGTTGGTGTTTGTATTGAATCAGATTATTTGTATGGAACAGACTTTGGTGTCACACCAGTTTGTACTACAGGATGGAGTAGGGAGCTGATGTGGGGTCCAGTCTGTGAAAGAACAGCTGTTCCAGTTACCCTAACTTACAACAACAACACAATCAGTGGATGTGATGAGCACGTCACCTACTGAACTGTAAACGGAGGAATTTCTGTGGATCATTTTTGTTAACTGCTTATTCAGCTGAGGGTCACAGGGGTGGAGTCTGTCCCAGCTGTCACAGGGAGAGAGGCGGGTCCACCTGCACAGGTCGCAAGTCAGAAAGGACAGAAACCACACTCTCTCATATACACACCTATATGTTTTGGGCACAACCTGACAACCGTCTCATTGGACCGTGGGAGAGCACATGAATGTCACAGAAAGACCCCAGCTGACCAAGACCCTTGAACCTGGAGACTTTAATCTGGGCAGCAGTGCCTGACATCACCTCACCGCCCCGACGTCAGGCTCTAATCTTGTGTTTGTGTTTTACTCCAGGGCAGCTGCCGTGACACCGTCACCTGGAGGAGTTTTAGTTTAGAACTCCTGTTATCAGATACATGGATATAAAGTCTTTACTTTTTATGTGTCTTTATGCAATACATGTGGATTCTGTCAACTCAGTATTAATATTCAAGTCAAGCCAGCTTCATTTGAACAGCACATTTTAAAAATAATTACTCCATTACTTAAATAATCAATAGCTGCAGCCCTACAGCTGTCCCCACCTGAGGAACTGGCGCGGGTGCAGGCCGGGCCCCGGTCGCTCTCACCCCGGGAACAGGGATGGGTGAAGGAGCAGGTTCAGGAGAAGCCCCAGGAACTGGAGGATAGACTGTGCTGGGGTGAAGCTGCAGAACAGGAGAGCCAATCTGAGCCATACTTGGGAGTGATAACTGCTATTAACAGCCATTGGATAGAGTGATAACCATGGTGGGTCTAGTCAGTATAATCAGCAGTAAATGAGTGTGTGGGTGAAGAAATGCTGCACACAGTGCTGTTTGATTCAAGAACCCAAAGCAAAACTCAAAAAGTGTCTCAGGGAGGGGAACCAGCCAGATGTTGTCAGTGTCACTGATGGAAATCCAGCTGCACTAACCCTCCAGTACATGAGACCTGCCACACAAACAGGCCTACAGAAAGACAGGGTGGAGTGATTCAGCACACAGTACACAGGCGGCTGCTGGCTGCAGACAGGCTCATTACATACAGAGACGTTCTCTTCACACTGATGCAAATAAAAGAAATTATATGACAGATTTTACAGATGTATTTAGCAGTCAGTCAGCACTTTGAGGTTTTTGATTCCATAATAGTTGTTGTGAAATCAGAGTAAGGACAGTGGGCTGGACCTGTCTGGGAACTTTGTCTCACACTGACAAAGAGCTCCATCGTCATACATTAGTCTGAAGGTAACAATGTTGAGAAATGCGAGAGCTTGTAGAATATTTCGAATGAGTTTGATTTGTTCCTTCATCCTGTTGATTTATAAAATTCATAACATGTGTGCTTAAACAACATTAAACTGTAGGTCTCCTGTCATAATCAGTTCACTTATAATCATACTGAAATACCATTGAAACGTTTTTTTACCATGAAACATGAACCTGGGACAGTCGCCTACAAACACCAAGCAGGTAGTCCTCTGATTACATCAAACAGGAAACAGGCCGATAAACAGATAAACAGATAAACCCTCAGCCTTACACTGGAATTCAGTGTCGCGAAATCAGTTTTACCCCGGTTCTTTTTATTCCTCGAGCATCCAGAGATGGCACCGGACTCAGTAGTCATTTTCACAAAATCTTTATTCATCTTTATTCATCTTCATTTATCTTTACTCTTCTTCATTTAAGCATGCACTTCTAGAAGGGAAGATGAGGCCGGTGTCCCTCTGCAAAAATCTTCATCCCTTTGTTAGTTCCACCCAGCTTTATAGAAACAACCCCATCATAAAACCCCCCTACGGTGTGCTGCAAACTCTGTCTGTGTCTATGTGAGTGCTCATGAGTGAGTGTGTGCGCATACCTGTGTGTATGTGTGTGCACATGAGTGACTGTGCGTGTGGATGTGTGTGCGTGACAGTTAAAACACTGTGGGTGTAGGTGACTCCCTAGAGGTCATAAAACCCCTCTCCCTTCTAGACCACAGTTACAAGTATCATAAATGTTGCAACCCCCACCCTAAAGCTTCCTCTGGGGAATTTCCACTCAGTGGGGGAGAAGCCTCCTACAATCTAAGTTCACAACAGAGTGAGGCCTTTATTACTCTACACACAGTGTCTCTACAATAGTTCTATATTCTACAATAACACATTTCTAAACTCTAGATCAGCTAAATATTCTACATCAGCAACACTTCAAATGTTTCCAAACACACAAGTTGCTCTCTCTCAGTCTCCGGTAGGTCACAAATATCAGATTACAGCTGATTTATTTATTTAATTTGTTTAATATTAAACTTTACTCTGTCAAAAGAATGTTTTTTCTGTGTCTCAGGAGGATCAGTTGGCTGAGTGTGACAGTAACATTCCTGCATTCCTGGAACTGGAATATTGAGCTAACTGGAATAATGTTGGGATGTCTCATGTCGGACTGAGGACGTACTGGATGCTACACTGACTCGTGCGTCACCTTGTGGTTCAAAGTGGTATTACACGAGGCTGTGCTGTCATGTAATACCACTTTGAACCACAAGGTGATTGAAATGTTTGATATAATATCAGAACTGTTGTTCTTTCATATTCTGTTCATAGATGTATTTAAATGTTCAAAGATTTGAAACTCATGTTAAACAAACTGTGAGAAGAAAGAAAGTCTGACTCTTTTCTAACATTTGACCCAAACTGTTTTTCTAAATGATCCCAAACTAAAGTTCTTCAGATACAGTAAGAGAAATGATTTCATGATGAATGATGATCATTGTTGGAGGTTTTGGTCACGGTGCTGAATTTAACAGAGTCAAGTGTCATCATTGTATTTCCACTTTGCACATAATACTATAAATATAAGGAGGAAGCCTGAGGCCCTGCAGCAGACTCACAGACGGATGCAGAGGGGAGGAGTGTAGAGGTGCTGTGGTGTTTGGAGGAGGGACTCCTTCAGTCAGAGAAGTGAGGCGTCACAAGTTCCTGGTTTCCAGTGAAGAAGAAGAGAGGCAGCAGTGAACCATCAGAGCCTCATCATGAAAGTCCGTCACACTCTGATCTGCTGCTTCTTCCTTTGTGAGTACATTCACTTGTTCTTTCTGTCACTCTCCTTCTTCAACATGTTTCTGTTGTTAAACATGATGATCAGAGTCACTATGAGTCACTTTCATGGATGCTTCTTCCATTCAAACTGCTTTTATTCATGATTTCATGGATGTGTTTGTGGCCAGTATGGACAGAAGAAACCATCACAGTGAGACATTCATGGACATGTTGCTGCTCACTTTGGCTTTAGGATTCGTCCTTTCAAAGATGGTTTCTTACAAGTGTTTGTTACGTCCTCAAAATAACCTGTAACATCAAAGTAAAAACTCCACCTGATACTTTCAGTTATTATTTGAAAATACAAACTTGTTGATCAAGTCAATGAATTTTTCTTTGAAAGACAAAAACACATTTTGTTGCTTTTACTGTTACATGTTCATGTTTCTTCACTGTGACTATTCACAGTTCACTCCCACAGTGCATATAGATTTGACAAAATGACATCACTTCCTGCAGACAAATATAAACCTGTGAGTGACGTGAGTGAAATCTGTCAGCATCTTCAAACCCAGAGTTGTGTGAAAAGTTATTTGCTAATTCTTCCTGTTTGTCCTGTTGGAGCTGAACAGAAATACGACTGCACAGAGTTTAAATGCTGGAATGAACTGAAATCATTCACATAAAGTAACTGACTCACATCAGCTGCTGAGTTTGGCTTCAGAGCTTTGAAATAGAGTCATAAATTACTCAATAACATGTCGTTAATTGCAAGTATTTGTTACTTCCTCAAAAAAAAAAAAAAACGAAGTGTCTTGCCCAAGGACACAACGACTGAGACTCTCCAAGCCGGGGCTCGAACCAGCAACCTTCAGGTTACAAGGTGAACTCCCAACTCCTGAGCCACGATCACCCTCAGTAAAACAAAGTTACAACAAATAAAAACTTCATCACTGGTTTTGTTGTTGCTTCATGAACTTTGACACCAGCAGTACATTTAAACTAAATGATGACATCACTTCCTGTGGATGAAACACATGAAAAACTTGCATGTTGAGCTGTTGCTTCAATCTCTCAACACATAATTACTACAAGTACCACACAGAGGAGTTATGAGTCATTTACATGTTTTGTTTATCTTCATCTTTTATTGTCATTTTATTCATGCATAGGAAACATGTTCAGATATATTTTGAGTCGTGTCGACTGGAAGAAGATTTTCCACCACTTTAGACAATAAAATGTATTTGACATGAATCATTGTTGTTATTCAGACTTTAGTCTCAGTGTGTCTGTGTGTGAATGTTGTGATCAGACTGCAGCTTCTTACAGGAAGTACAAACAGTAACTGTTGATGGTTCATGTTTCCAACAGCTCTGCAGGATGGAAACCCTGAAGTCACCGATGCTCAGTTTCTTCACTATGGAGTCATTGGAGGAGATTTGAAAGCTGGATTCTCCTTTGAGTCTCCAGGAACATGGAAGATGTTCTGCAGAGAAGAATGTGAAGGAGAAAACATTCTCATTAATACAACTGATGTCAGAGCTCAAACAGGCAGATACAGCATTGAATATGAATGGACTGGTTCTCATGGTTTATATGTGAGCATCTCAAAGCTGACTGAGTCTGACTCTGGACAGTACAGCTGTGGTTTGGCTGGATCTTCATCATCAGCTTCACTCACACAGTTTGTGATCGTTGTTGCTGAAGGTGAGTTTCTGTTTCAGCTGTGGAAATGTTTAGTTTCTGTTCCTGAAGCAAAGTTTGAGTTTCACTGACAGCTGCTGACGGTTTAAAGAAGCTGAAGTTTGTTCTTCTGTCAACTGTTGGTTACATTTGGACTCCTCTAAGTAACCGATGAACTGCAGCTGGGACACGAGTGTGTGTGAATATTAGTGAGTGTGTCAGCTGATAATGATGTGAATGAAATGTTGATGTCAGAAACAGACGCTGATGAATGAAAGAAGATTTTCTGATGTAACTTTGATTTTCTTTGATGAGTTTTTGCTTCTGTGTCGTCGGTTTGATCTTTCCAAGAGTTCCCCTCACAGCAAAATGGATTCTTCCTCAATGAATGTGTGAAAATCACATTCACAACACAAACGTCCATCCAGACTTTAAATGTACTTAAAACCATGAAGGGTTCACAGTTTAGAGTCTATACTTGTCATAAAAGCTGATTTTTCATGAATCCAATCAGTCTGATGATGAAGCCGTTTAAATCTCACTTAGTTCAACAGTTCCTCTGTCAGACTGGTTGAACTGGGCAGCTCCCAGTGTAACTGTGGATGAAACTGGAGTTACTCTGATCAGACTGCATCATCTTCAGCACAGATAGTAACTATTGGTTGTTTGTCTCTTTAACAGCACTGCTGGATGGAAACGATGATCAGCTGAAACACTTTGATAAAGAAACTGGAAGCTCTCTCACAGTCGGATGTTCCTTTAAACAACCTGGAAACAGAGTGTTCTTCTGCAGAGGAGAATGTGTAGGAGAAAACATTCTTGTTCTTACACTTGATATCAAAGCTCAGAGAGGCAGATACAAAATTGAATATGATTCAGGAGTTCTGTATGTGAGCATCACACAGCTGACCAAGTCTGACTCAGGACGGTACAGATGTTCACTGAGTGGATCTTCCAGCATGTCATTCAGAGACTTTCAGGTCACTGTCACAGACGGTGAGTTTTTACTGACATTAATCAAATGTTGTCAGAGTGGAGCTGTTCAGCTGTTCCTTATTTCCTGTCATATATCTGCTGTTCCAGTGGTGGATGTTCATGTTGAACACGAGCAAAGTTTCTAATAATGAGCTCAGTGTCTGTACAGTGATCCCTGTGAGCCAACAGCTCAGGCTGCTCTCAGCACTCAGTTTATCTCAACATAGAAACAGAATTATTTAGAAACAAGATTATTTAGAAGTGTGAACTTTGTAAAGTTACTGTGATGGAGAGCAGGAATCAGAGTGTGGAGCTGGAAATGAACAGGTGACCATTAATGTCCCTAAATGTCTTTATTGTTTCCAAGAACCTGATATTTCAACATACATTCATATTTTATTTCATTGTTAAACTATTTTAGTGCATTTTTTTAAATCTAACACTAAATTTGCCAAACTGGTTTTTTCTCAATCAGTGGATCCATTTAAGGATGTTTGATTTCTCAGCTGATTTTTGAATCTTTGTGTTTTTCTTCTTCACAGCTCCAAACATTTATAAGTCAAACTTTCCTCTCTGCTCTTGTTCAGCAGCTGGACCATCAGCCACAACTACAGGAAGCTCCACACCTTCATTAACTTTGACTGGAAGCACTGAGCAGCCTGAAAGAGCAGCATCTGCAGGTACATCCATCTATGAGTCTGAGAGTAGAAACACTGACAGATTCTTTATAACCTGAGTGAAAACTGGTTTAATTATTATCATAATTACTCCTTAATGTGTCCTGTTATATGCTTTTCATTTAGTTTGACAAGTGACATTAGCAAACAATCTGAGGTGAATATGTTCTTTAGAAGCTGTAAAATGCTAAAATAACACAAACTCTATTTCATATTATTTCAGTCTGTAGGTGATGAGTTCTTACTGTACAGCTCTATATACTGTACGCATGTCTTCAGCTTGTTGTTCTTCTCAATCAGCTGCAGATGTGCTGCTGGTTGTGGGTCTGACTCTGGCTCTCATCATCATCCTCTCATCACTGACTGTTCTAATAATCTGCATCAAGAGAAAGAGCAGCAGAGGTAAGACAACAGAGACACAGAAACACACAGAACGTCTCGTTTCTAACCAAAACTCTTTTTTCACTTCACTTGAAGTCTGTTCAAACAGCTGCAGTCAAACATCAAAATATTTCATCCTGCTTGTCCACTTTGGGCTCTAAGAGGAGAGTGGAGTGACTTGTAGAGATGATGTTAAACACTGGAAGTAACTGAATCCTAAACTGTGTCACACATGAACTCTGGACACTGTCAGCAGGATCAGATCCAGATGTTCTCTGCTTCAGACGTGTGAAGTAAAAACAGGAAAAATATACTGACTACACGACCCATGAAAACTGTAAAATAGTATAATTATTGTGGATCACTTCTTCAGTACACAGGAGGAGACTCGAGCAAATGTGAGTCTTTGATTCTGAAGGCAAAGTCTAAAATGAAGCCTAATAAAGTCCAACTAAGCAGGATGAAAGAACAGGAGGGGCAGCAGTGATCTTCAGCCTCACGTGCACTTTGAATGATTGTTCCCTCTAACAGAGGAACATCCTTTGTTTGTTCCACAGGTTTGAGGACCAGAGGAAACTCAGAGGGCACAAACATGGAGGTGACTTTCTTTCTCTTTGGTTCCTCTCACTGTTGACAGACTGCTACTGTAACAAAGAAATAAAGCAGTCACAGTGTGATGGTTCAGTTTGTAGACTGTTCCAGAAATTACAGTCCAAGAAGGTGAATTCAAACAGGTAGGTGACAAAAATGGCCGCCCAGACGGTGACTCCAACAACAAACAGAGACACTGTTGTCTGAGAGGTTCAACGAGGCAACGTGGAAATATTTACCAGCACAAATGATTTAACCAAGTCAGAGTCTCTTCTTTTTATGTGAAGAAGACAGTTTGTCTCTGTTTCAGGACGTCCACTACGAGAACTGTACTCCAGGTTCTACACGTGAAGACTCGACCTACCAGAGCCTCGATCCAGCCGGCAGGGACCAGGACCAGACCTACTCTACACTCACACACCACACATGAGACTCTCTGGATTCACACCTGGGTTTGTTTTTGTACTTGAAGACTTCAGTCTTTTTACAGACCCTGGAAATTCACAGCAACTACACCCATAAATGTGCACATTTTAAGCCTTAATACAACTTAATAGGTTAAGTTTTAAAAATAAACAACTCCCTGAATGTTTGTTATAAAGGAGGAAATTGCAGATAGAAAGACAAAAACGTCTTGGTCTCTGTCTGTCACCCTTGTAAAACGTGTTTATTTCCGGTGTAAAGTTGGACATCAAGTCTATGGTTGACTCACTGGAGCCTCAAGTGAACATTAGTGAACTGCATTTTTTTTTATCATTTTAATTTGCAACAAGACTAATGAGAACATGCCAGATCAGCTCATTTTTGCATGCTTGTCACATCCATTTACTTCAGTGCTCACTGCACTGTGCTCCCATGTATTCATCGGCTGTCTCTTATGCTCTGCTTAGCTGTGGTTTTGATCTACTCTGCAGGTTATGTCCAAGTTACTGTCCTAACTTGCAGGTTTTATCTCAGGTTCATTGCTAGTGCATGTTTCTGTGTGTGAAAAGTGCATTTAGTCCCAGAAGTTCACAGTCTGATATGATTTTCAATAAGATTTTTTCTGCTGTTTACTTTGCCCTGTCGTTGACACAGTAATACTTATGATATGCAATTAAACAACTTCAGGCTTAGCTCGGTTTTCTTTATGAATGCCATTAAGTGTTATTGAACATATCTTATTTTCTTTTGTAATTAATTGATTTCTTTTAATAAACAGGCAGAACTTGTAACTGAAGCCACGTCTCTTCTTCTCCAAACCTCACTGTGTGCTGGTTAATGGCCGTGATGTGCAAAGCGAGGCTTCATGAAACACGAAACACACCACGCATGTGTGCTGGAATTATATTCAGGCTTCGAGACGATCTGAAAACATCTCCACAGTGACACCTGCTGGACAATTTTACTATCGCCACATCTTGGAGATGCTGTTTATGAGATACTCGCAGCAGAAGCGTCAGTGAGACTTAAAATGAAAGAAAAAAACGCATGTCGTGAAAATCGTTAAGAAGTAGGTCACCTGTATTCATGTGTTTTTCTAATATTTCTTTTACAATATAAATAAATTCTTTATGGGAGTTACAGGGAGCATGACGTCACTCAATCCTGCAAATAACATTTTCTGTTGAAAGAAGAAAAAATAAAATTAGAGCACAGACGGAGTCAGAGTCGAACATTTCTGTCTGTTTTATTTCTCCTTGAAAGCAGAAAGGAGGTTTTTTACTGAGATACTTTAATGAGTTTACAGAGCGCCGACGTCTCTTTCTCTGTGGATTCCCGTGTTTAAGTAATTAGATAATGTCGGTCTCCATTAACCACAAAGAAAATAATAAAGAGAGAGAGGGCCTTGTTTTCTGTTACACATGCGCGTGTCATAAATACAAAAACATTAATTCAGTAATTACAAATGACTCTGGCTCATTAAAAAAAATGTGAATCCTGACGCCTCGCAGTGCCCGGAAGCAGCAGGTACACCACCTGTCGGAACTGGGGCACCAAAGCCTAGTTTATTCGTGGTCATGTGATCTCTGTGTTCGGTGCAGTATTTTGAAACATCGCGTCGGAGCCTCGACACAGCGAAGAAACGCTTTTCAAGCGTCCCATCCCTGCCAGAAACTCGGCCCCCTTCGCGCATGCGCTCTATAGTCATCACAGTATGAGGAGTGCAGAGAACAAGTAACGTCAGAGGTAAACAAGCTTTTATGTTTCTCGTTTACATATTCCACGCTCATGTTTGTAATTAAAGTGCAGAGACATTTTATTAAATATTCCGCTGGCCGACAGGAGGCCTGCGGCTGCTCGCAGCGGTCAGTGGGACTTGTCAGCCTAAGCTGCTTCAGCAGCAGCGAACTGTTAGCTGTGTTAGCTTCTGTATTCACAGTCAATGGAGAGGCGATCCAACTCCGCTGAACTGCACCAGCTCAGAGGACAGCTTTAAACATGCGACTGTATCTTCTCTTACGCTGGTGTCTTTTACTGAAGTGTTCTTTTAAAGCACTTTCCGCTTCGTCCGGTGTCAATCTGTGCTAATATTTAGAGCTAACATTGATAGCATTAGCATCTTAGCCGCTGTCAAATATCTGTTAAGCTAGACAGGGGAGGGACATTTAGAGCGACTGACGACCGAGACAGCCAATAAAATTTAGAGTAGGCGTCCTTAGGAGTCTTCAAGACCAATTATCTTCTTCTACTAAGAAAGCTAAGGAATATCAAGCGGAAAGTCAAATGTCTGTTTCATTCATTACAAACTGTTCGAGTTTAATATTCGCACATTTGTTCAGTCGAAATTCAGACTACACCCGTGGAAAGCTGATAATAACTACACTAAAAAAAGTTGGGCTGCAACCGTTATCAGAGACGGGCGCAACGTCATCATATGTATGCCGTCATCACGCAACTTGACGTACAGTAGCGTTCGCGACCTTTGACCTTTGTGTGTTCTTGCTTATTTTTTTTTTTTTAACTTACAACAATAGTTTGCAAAAATAGAAGAAAAAAGAAAATTCAAACATTTATTTGTTAAGATAATAAATACAATATGGGGGGGAAACTGTAAAGAAAAGAAATCTTTGGCATATCTAGAGTTTGAGTTTATTTAGGAATTTGCTTAGTTCAACCTATACTCTGTTTATAAGTTATTTGAATGGACCGCCTTTGAGTTTTTATTCACCTTGTCCATTTACACTTGTTGTTCCACAAATAATGAAACATAGCAAATAGAATATTTATATCCAACATTGAGGATAACCGCTGTGCTCCATCAAAACAAAAGAAAATGGCTTAAAAATATTGAACTGTCAAATAAACTCTCCACAGTAAAATGACAGAAAATGCTCACATCAACACTTCCTGTGTTTTTGTACCAGATGAAGACACCTCCGGACCGATCAGGCATCACATTTGAAGTCGGAGCCAAACTAGAAGCTCGAGACCACCACAAGAACTGGTCAGAAGACTCCTCCCCACCACCTTCCACACACACACACACACACACACACGCACACACACACACACACACACACACACACACACACACACACACACACACACACACACACTTATTCTTTCCCTTAGGGGTCGTCACAGCAGATGATCTGCCTCCATCTCACTGTGTCCCTGCATCCTCCTCTGTTACTCCAACCACCAGCTCCATATTCAACAGCCTTTGCCCAAGATATCCACTCTCACTCTCCTACACACATCATAACCACCTCAGCCTTTCCTCCCTGACTCTGAGCCCTCCCTCTGATGCACTAATTTCTAATGCTGTTCATCCTGCTCACTCCTAGTCAACATCTGAACATCTTCAGCTCTGCCTCCTGTACAACCAAACATCACAATGGGCCTCACTACAATCTTTTAAACCTTCCCTTTCACTATTGCTGCTCTCCTTCTGTCACTAATCACCCCGACACTCATGTCCACCCTCCTTGCACTAACACACTCAAAATAACAAAAATTAATTGTTTGTTTTACTGAGCTTCTGCTGTTATGATGTACCCACTCATTCAAGCTTTTAAAGTAAAGTGTGGGTTAGCGACTTCTTAATAGTCCCTTTGTTATGAGTCTGATCTGTGGAAATCCGATGAGTGGATGATTCATTTAAGTTCCCACAGCAGTTCAGCCAACATACAGGAAACTTTCAGATACTGGTGGTGATTTTTTTTCCAGGATTTTAATAAAGTATTTAACTTTGTTATGATTTTTAATCCACCAAATAACAACAAAAAAAGGAACAGACTTATATTAAATGAAGTAACACTGACTCATTGCCTTAAAGATATGCAACCAGCTGTGCTCATGTGTGAATTCAAAAAGCCCAACCTTTCCTGTGGTGCGTAAATATCCTCTAATTTGTAGCTAAACAAAAGCTAATTTTGAATGTGGAAATGATAAAGATTTTTGGGAGAACATACTTCAAATTTAATGGTGTACTAAAAGTTTGTCCTCCTTTTAGGTACACGGCCACCATTGAGAAGATTGATTATGACAAAGAGCGGGTCCTGATCCACTATCTGCAGTGGAGCCGTCGCCATGACGAGTGGTTTCAGTGGAACTCACCGTACCTGCGGCCGAAGGAGCGAGTCAGCCTGAGGAGGCAGGGCCTGAATCCAACGCGATCACAGCCGGTATAGAACATGTTAGACGTACACAGATGTTTCTTTTTAAATAGTTTTTAAAACATCGGTATCAGTGTCATGGCAGGGATGCTGATACTGAATAAGATTTTATTTTTCTAAGATGCATGAACTGAAATAATATATTTAATTCCTGCATATAAATCCTAGATACTCTGCATTTGAAGTAAATGTGAAAATATCAGAGCCTGTACTACAACTTGGTTCATCGTATCCACAATATATTTCTGTTATCATTTACCCCACCATCAGTCAGGACGTGGACAGACGATGAGGCTATCATTTTAAATACATTTGAGGAGGTTAGGCTCATATTACAGACTGACAGTGAAGCAGCTGCTGTGGACAGAGCAGCAGAAACTGGGTGTGTGTTTTAGGGCTGCCACGATTAGTCGACTAGTCACGATTATGTCGACTATCAAAAATTTCGATGACAAATTTAATAGTCAACGCGTCGTTTGAAGCTTTGTAAGATCCAGAAAGACGCAGGAATAAATATTAGGATTTAAGAGTGTAATAGCGGACTGAAACAGAAGGTGGCAGCACTGCATGTACAAAGATGCCAGCTGCCATTAAACCCCGAAGAAGAAGAAGAAGCTGTCTCCAGTATCATAGCTGTTGTCCAAATTTACGGGCTGCATCGTTAGGAGGCAGCGTTTGATTACGTTACAGCGACGCGACGAAGGCTTTCCAAATTTGAAGATTTCTCCAAATGCGTCCTACTTTTCCCCGAATTTGAAGGATGAGTCGGATGTATCCTTCCTGGCCCAAATGATCCCAGAATTCATAGCACGACCCAGCCAATTCCTGTTTCCAACAATGGCAGCAGCTACATAGTTTTAATATTACTCTTTCTGGGTCACAAAATAAACTTTTAACACATTTTTAGGCGAGAATGTAGCTGTGCAAACTTCAAATGTCTGCTCGGTTTATGAAGACATCACAAATTTGTAAAAGTGCCCCGACGTTTTCGGAGACTTCTGCTACCCACCCGCTCGATAGCTGGAGGGTTCTAGGCTCACTAGAGCCGGCGTAAAACACCAGACACTACCTGTTATATTTTAGATGGCAAGGAGCAGACGGCTGAGTTTATTAAACTCCACCGAGACAAAATTCATTAAAAGTTTAATAAACTATCATCTTGTCTTTAGTTAGCACAGACCTTAAACACTTAAAGCTGTAAGTTAATGATAGTTATATAAGAGCAGATGCATCCTGGTGCAATAAGCTGTAAGTTTTACAGCCAATGGATGATGATCTAACTAGTCGACTATCAAAATAATTGTTTGTGGCAGCCCTAGTGTGTTTTAATAATGTTGGTCAAGAAGACTAGAAAGATTATGACAATAATAAGTTGAAGCTAGGAGAATGTTGACTGCGTAAGCTAACAGATGTTTTCTCTGCGACTCAGACGTTTGTTTCAGGCTCAAAGGTTCTGGCCTGTTGGACCGACTGTCGTTTCTACCCGGCCAAAATCCTCCGTGTCAACAAGGACGGTGAGGTTCAGCTGTGACCTTTTACCTCTGCTGTTTTTCTACTGTATTCTACTGCTGGTTGATTTACTGATTTTGGGGGGGGGGGAGGGGGAAGGTCAGTGCAGCTGTTTATCACAAGGTTGTCTGATAAATCACTAAGCACCTACCATCTGCACCCCTCACTAACTTTTGGCTATTCAATGGACCCATGCATATGTTTTCTTTCATAGTATATATCGTAACGATTCAGATTTAGCTTGCTTCTGCACTTAAGAAGTAAGGCGGTCTTAATAATACTGGGAAAAAAATGAGGTGAGAGGCCCAAAATTTCAGCCCACCCCTCTGTGCTTCTTGTTCCAGTAACTTGACTAGTATGGAGGTCGGATTGTGTGTGGGTTCATTAATTACACTAAGTTACTCTACAATATAAGTCAGCTAATCCTGAGTGCTTTTCCTGATTCAATGATATTAATGATATAATGCTGCTTACATTATTTTTACAGTTGAAGCTGATACATTGGACTGTTAAAAGCGTTTCATTAAAGAAAAGTCAAATAAATCCTGATTAATTCATACTAAAAACTCTGGTTTGGAGTCGAGTTGCTGCCTGAGGTGGGAGAGGTGAGGTATCTCTGGGCTTTGTTTGAGGCACTTAGGTGGAGATTGAAGCAGGAGATTGACAGAAGGGCTGGTGCAGCTGGGTCCGGTCTGTTGTGAAGAGGGAGCTGAGCTTGAAGGCGAAGCTGTCAATTTACTGGTTGATCTACATTCCCTCTCTCATATGTGACCCCGAGCTGTGGGTAGTTACCAGAAAATAAGATTGTGCATTCAAGTGGCAAAAATTGGGCTCTCCCTTCAGACAGAGCTCAGAGCACAGCCGTGCTCCTTTGCATCAAAAGGTGCCGGTTGAAGTGGTTCGGTCGGCTCTGACCCAGATAAGCTCAGTGAATGGATGGGCGTCTTTTATGTCCTCCCTTCATGCTGTTTGACTCCCGCTGTCCGTCTTTGGGTTGTTTGTGCTGCGTTCCTGTTGTTACTGAAGCGAATCGGCTGTTTTTGGAACATGATTGATCTAAACCTGGTGTTTGTGTTTTCCTGTGTCAGACTCCTACACAGTGCGATTCTATGATGGCGTGGTTCGGACTGTGAAGCCCACCAAAGTCAAACCTTTCCAGGAAGTAAGAAATGCTTCTCTCTAATTGGTCCTCGTCTACTCAGTGTTTCACACAATCACAACGTCTTTGATCCTTAATGTGTTTGTTTTTGTTTGTTTGTCGTTCTTAGAAATCCAGATCTGAGAAAAGTGCTGTGGGAAGCGAGGGATGGGAGGAAGGTGAGAGTGAGGAGGAGGAAGGAGGAGAAGGACAGGAAGAAGAAGAGGAGGAGGAGAAAAAGGAGGAAGAGGAGGCAGATGAGAAGGTGACAACAGAAGAGACCGATGCAGCTTTGGAGAGGGAGGAGGACAGGAAGAGGAAGGCAGAACCTTCATCCTCAAATCCACCTGCCAAGAAGAAAACAGATGACAGTAAGTAAGATGACCTCTGACCCCAAGCGCCCGCACACTGTAGATCTGTCCAGATGTTTGGAGGCTCTGCAGCTCGTCAGCAGGAGCAAATTAAAATGGTTAACAATGGTCTGTCTCTCTTCCAGGCAGAAGCAGTGGAACTCAGAATCAGCCAATCACAGCTAACTCCACCCCCCCAGCAGCAGCAGCACTTAACCCTGCCCACATAGACAGAGGTACACTTATCTCTGTAAACAGATATCTGCACAGGAATATGGAGAATACATAAAGGGTTTCTGGTTTCCACTTGTAGTCCGGGTTGAGTATGCACGAAAAAGTGAGGTCCTGTTTGCCGAAATGAAACCTGAAAACCTTCAGCTACAATGTAACAACAACTTAGGCTTTTATAAGCTTTTCTAAATATGTCTGCATTAGAAAAGCCACAACTGGGGCAGGGGGCTGCAAGTCTCATCCAGAATATCAACAGACGACACCGGCGGCTCTGCACCAGCAAATCCTACAGCAGCAGACTCACTGATGGTGCCTGAAGTCGACAGAGGAGGACTTTAGACATGCGTGTATTGGTCCAAACATGAGAACTCCACAGAACATGTGCACATTTTACATGGTTCTCTTAGCTTTAAGACGATGTCTGTGGGGACTGTCTCACTCAGGAGGACAGCAGACATAGTTCTTATTAGACCTGGGTGAGATGGACAAAACTGGGACATGTTTTTCATACCAGTCAAATCACTATTTCTGTCCAGCTTAAAGACGACCTCTACTCCAAAGTGAAGATAAAATGTTAATTTTGACTTAAATATTAATTATTTTGTGTCACACATTGAACGTGACTAATGTGCTGTAGAATATTATACAGGTGTACTTTGAGTACATAGTGCTAGTGTATGTGAGCATATAATAAAGTAAAATCTTAATTTTGACCGGTAAGAACATTCAAGCCAACCCGAGGATAAAACCACGGTGAATGTGAGAAAATCCAGTTCTTAACAGATGAAACACAGTTTAACTTTGTTCGCAGGTGCTTCTCTTATTTGGATCAGTAAGTGGTTATGCTTCTGTAACGTACTTGACCTGTTTGTTTTATTTAATCTTTGTTTCAGATGTCCTGCTGGAGCGTCAGGCTCACCTTCCCACCACACACAAGTTCAGCAGAGAACCATGTAAGTCCCTCAGTCCTCCACATAAACACAAAAGGTTAGAACGTCTCGATGCATGCTCAATCATCCAGGTAAGTAAATCCCAGGACTGCTACGACCAGATGAACAGAATCAAACTTTGGGGACAAAAGTTTAGAGTTTAAAAGTTGTTTTTTTTTGTCTAATGAAAAAAGTAGGACAGATAAAGACTGTCGGCTGCTCAATCCACACTTGTAATGGGGCGGGAACAGATTGAACATGAAAGGATATCAAATGTTTTAATTGAGAAAATTTGATGGAAGCGACACCTCTCAAGAGAACATGTACAGGGTGATGTTTCCTCTGTGTCTTAAACATCTCCGAGCCAAGGAGACCAGCAGCTGGACTCTTGGAAGAGGAATCTTGTCCCATTTTTAGGTTAAAGCTGCTCAGCAGTCCTGGCTCTTCTTTGGTGTCACCATGCTCCAAATGTTTTCAGCCGTGCTGTTGGAATCGATGCTTTATGTGATTTTAGCATTGTTGTGCTGAAACATGAAGAAGATGTAGAAGTCAGAGATGCAGGCTTTTAAACTGAGCGCTGATATTGAGCCACAGGGTCTCCCTTCTCTTTTTCCAAAAGTCATTAAAACATTTGTCTGACATCGGAACAGTTTTCTGTGAGTTTTGGTTCAGAGAAGACGACGTTGTTTCTGACCGTGTTTAGATGTGGCGACGTGTTTGCGTGATCTTTAACCTGCTGCCTGAAGATCACGAGCATCGATGCTGAATTTCAGCCTCCACCCGCACGCAGATACTTCTCCAAATAATCTATAATAATAATTTATGATTTTATTTTATTGTAGATGATGAGACATTTAAAGTCTTCACAATCTCACATTGAGAAACATTATTGTGAAATTGTTCAGTTTGTAGACAGTTCTTTGCAGATTGCTGAACCTCTTTAGTTCTGAGAACGTCTGCCTCTCTTTATACCGACCTGCTGCTAATTAACCAGATGAGGTGCAACACGTTCCTCCAGCTGGTCCTTTCTTACTGTCACTCACTTCTCCAGCGTTTTGTTGTCTGAAGCATTTAATGAAATGGTAAAATGTCTCAGTTGAAATATTTAACTTGTTTTCTGCTTTATTGTGAATAAAATTCATAAGATTTGCAAATCATTGCACAGCATCCAAACTTTTGTGGAACTGTGGTTTTTCTTCAGCTCCAGAGGAATTTTAGATGCCGTCTTAAATTGACAAATTGTGCTTCTGAGCAGACATTTAATGTAGCTTCCTGTCCTCTCTTCGTGCTTGGGGTTACAATACAAAGGCATATTATCAGTGTGCAGCTGCTCCCTTCTTCTTTCTAAGCATGAAAGTGCTGAGGTTTCCTAATCCAGTCCCACAGCAGTTAGAAACACTCGGTGTGTCCTCTCCTCTCAGTGTACAGGGTGATAAAGAACCAGCCTCCACCCATCCTCTCCATTGAGCTGGACCACAACCCCTTCAAGTGCCCTGCTCCCGGGTGCACTAAGTCATTCAGGAAGGCGAGCCTGCTGCACTACCACATCAAGTACTACCACACCGACCAGCAGCTGGAGGAGCAAAGCAGCGCGGAGGAGGCCGTGAGGTCGCTTTATGTCCCACGGATTAGATACGGTGAGCAGAGGGCGGTGAGTTTAACGCTGACTGGAGCTATTTTGGGTTTTTTTTAGGAGGAAGCGATCTTTTTCAGAGGGTGGCGACTTGGTGTCAGACAGGAGGAGTGAGAACTCAACCAGCGGAGAACATGGCATCATGGGAACAGGTACAGAGCAGAGCACAACATCAGCACATAGGAGCAGAAAACCAGGCCAACCAGCAGCGTTGGTGTCATTTCTCTCATGTGTGCCTGTTAGTAGAAGCCAAGAAGGATGGGGGGAAGGAGAAAACGGGAGGACTGGTTAAGAAGGAGAGGAAGAACTTCCTGCGAATCAAACTGAAGAAGAAGAAAAAGAAGAAGAAGAAGAAGAAAAGTCAGACGGGTGAGACTCATTGTGTCTGTTGACCTTCTTAAACTGAGATTAACAGGTTTGTAAGATATTTGGAGCCTAAAATCAGAGGTCTGCTCTCATCTAACAGTTTGAAGTTCGCTGTAGAAGTGTCATATTTTACCATCCATTTTCTTTCACTTATCTAAGTCAGAGTCATGGGGGAGGTCAGGTTGTCCCAGCTTCCACAGGGTGAGAGGCAGGGTACACCCTGCATAGGTCACCAGTGTGTCGCAGGGCTGACAGAGACAAACAACTATTCAGACTCACATTCGCACCTGTGCCCAGTTTAGCATCACCAATTAACCTAACCCCACTAACTGCATGTCTTTGGACTTTGAGGAAGACAGGACCCCCCAAACACGGGGAGATCATGCAGTCTCCATCCATTTCAGCTACACTGGCTTCCTGTTGAATTTCAGTACATTTTAAGATCCTGGTCTTGACATTTAGAGCCTTGCATGGACTGGCACCAGCTTACATCTCCGATCCGCTACAGCCCGATGTCCCCAGCAGGTCCCTGAGGTCATCTGATCAGGACTATAAAACAGACTAAGATGAGAACTAAGGGTCACAGAGCTTTTAGCCACTGTGGACTCTCTCCCTCAGACATTAAGACTGTGGACTCGGTCGTTGTTTTTAAAAAAACAACTCAAAACTCACCTTTTAAAACAGTTTTTAGTTAAATTTCTGCCTGTTTTATATTGTCTGTTTTACATTTTTATTATTTGTTATCTTATGTGCAGCACGTTGTGATTCTGTCTAGAAAGGTGCTACATAAATAAAATTGTATTTATTATTTATCTTCAACTCACATTTTATCTGTTATTGCACTTATTGCATCCTCAAATTTAAATAGAGTCCCATCTGACAGAAGTGTGAACCTGCGCATTAGTAACACTGCAGAAAATGAACTGCAGCGTGTTTGGCTCAGATTTGCTGTTGAGGGCGTTTTGGCTGCTCACAAACACGAGTGTAACGGGAAAGTAAAAACATTTATGTTTTGTTGGAAACGCTGCAGACGAAGCTAAAGCACCTTCACGACCTGTTTGTGATTTAAAACTCCTCTTTTTCAGCTGCTTCTCATTAGTTGTTGTCATTACTGTGAGTTACTGAGCACCAGAACAAGGTTGACAGCGTCCATGCGAGCACCGAGCGTCCAATCATTTTGTTGCTTCTCTCTTCTTCTCATCAGGTTTCTGCAGCAGCGACGATGAGAGCTCAGACAGACCTCCGATCACTCTCAAGCTCTCAACTGAACATCACAACACACACGTGCAAGGTGGGAAAACACACACACACTAATATCACAAACACTGATGCGATGTAAAAATTCAAAAACTGAGTTTCTGTACTTTTAGCCGACGATGGCAGCGATTGGTCAACGCTGACAGCAGAGAGTGGAGAAGACACGCCCTCCTGGCCTGTTGGCACGGAGACGGAGGAGTGTGAGGTGGTGAGGTGTGTGTGCGAGGTGGACGAGGAGAATGACTTCATGATCCAGGTGAGACACACAGGAATGATTTGTCTGTAGCTGCTTTTAAAACGAATCCACAGAACTGACAAACAAGTCTGAAAGGAGAGAAATGAATCATGGGAAATATTTTACATCATTCATGTCCATCAGGTTCTGTTCAATGTGAAAATTTTGTCTTTATTAGGACTTCTTTTGTCACTGAAGGCCTTTGTGTCAGGAATGCTCAGAAACACAGGATTGTTTCGTGATGCTGCTGTGACGTGATCCCAGTGTTTTCTCTGTGTGTGTCTGTAGTGCGAGTCGTGTCTGTGCTGGCAGCACGGGACCTGTATGGGTTTATACGAGGACAACGTCCCACACAACTACATCTGCTACTACTGCAGACAGACCGCAGGTAGGATTCACACTGTGAGCACTTACTGCTGTGCCGAGCCTGTGAAAGAAAGCAGGTAAAGGTGGATTATTTGATAGTTGGTGTAATATAAAACTCAAAGCTTGCATTTTATATGTTACAGCAAAGGCCTGGAAAAGTTCCTCGACCCCTTGTCGAGTGGTCGTAGGATAGCTCTCTGTGTTTAGGTGAAAGTCAAAGTGTGTGTTTGTATTGTAACCTTTTCTGACTGGTTGGAGAAGGACATGTGACTTATGTGTGTTTGTACCTCAGTGAGTGTGTGAGGCTTCGACGACACGAGCTCCACAGCTCAGGCTGAAGCCGTTTTCAGAGACCTGCTGGCTCTCTGTGGGTTCCTGTGTGGTGCTCGTGCTTCTCCTCTCATCTTGTTTTCATCTGTAATCCTCATTGGTCCAGGTTGGCGGTGTGCTCAGCGTTTCCGGTCTGAGCCCGACTTGTTGAAATCCGGTCACATGTTTGGCCTGTCGTGTGTGAAGGAGAACTACTCGGAGGTCAACGCCTCCAAGATCTCACACACCAGCCACCTGCTGGCGCACACGTACGGCATCAGCCAGGTCCTCAGCGCCCTGCAACTCAAAATCAGCCTGCTGCGGTGAGTGCGATCGCTCCGGCGGCTCGGCTCATCTGTTCGAGCCCGCAGAGACGTTAGCTCGGTCTGACTGTGGCCGTCTTTCCCCGCAGCTCGCCGTCCCACCCCGACCAGCAGCTGTGGAGGTCACCGTGGAAGCAGGAGGAGAGGCACAGACTGACGTCCAGCCCGAGAGGAGAGCCGCCCGTCTGCTACGTCAGCAGCGAGCACTGCTATCAGAAGCCTGGAGCATCATGGGAAAAAGGAGAGGAGCAGGAGAAAGAGAGGCCGATGGTGACGGTGAAGCAAGAGCGCAGTGGCGAGGAGAAGGTAGAGACTCAGCAGACACTCGTGTAGCCTTTTAACTGTTCACACGTTTCCTACTCAGAAAGCCGAAACACTCGTTCACAAGTGCTCACCAACTCGCTCCACTGCCCGAGGTAACAGGACACAAAACATTTTCATTTATTTGTGCTGTTCACACTGATGGGGGGGAAACGGACGACCGAATGAGTCGTACATGAGCAATAAACTCTAAGCTCGGATTTCACTCCTGCATTAAGGCTGAACATCATAAAATCAGAGCTGATTATTTTGAGCAAAGACGATGAATCTCTTTTTCTGTCTCCTCAAAGCTCTTCTCTGCTGTGAATTTGAGACGCGTGAATCTTCAGCTGTTGGGAGGTTTAGGTGTAGTAAAAAAAACAAAGCCTGGCTCACTGAGACCTTGAGCAGAAGCAGCGCCTCACGCTCGCAGCGCTAAGCTCCTGCTGTTGCTATGAGACCAGTGAAGACCAGTTAGAAGCTCATTCTGGTGAATGTGGAACTATTTTTACCTTTTACTGAGTGTGAGGGGGGGGGAGCGAGAGCTGCAGAGGATACTCTGTGAAGATACACCAACAGAAAAGCTGTAACAGGCTTCCTCTGCACAATCACACAGCCAGAGATTTTACAAACGTAAGGCTCGTCGGGTAGATCATGAAAACCTGTCATCTGTTTGATTTCATGGGGACTTTGTCGTTTTTCAGACCAGTTTCTGATCCTGAATTGTTTTATTTCTCTTAACTGTTGTAGAATTCTTGTAGAATAGAAAGAATACATCATTAGTAGCAACGAAATGGAGCTAAAAATAAACAATTGATGGAGAATCAATAAGTGAAACGAGCAGATCACAGTGAATTTACTTAAGTGGACCAGAAGACAAGATGTGAGATGTAAGAGAGATTCTTACATCCAGAGAGGGTCACGGAAATAAAAGGTTTCGACAGGTGAGCCTGTGGAGGGATTGTACGCTCCTCCTGTGATTGGCTCATGACTCTGTTGCCACCGGTGTCTTTTTCCTGCAGTAGAGGCTGTGGCCGTAAACTGTCTTTGAATTTTTATCTCAATCTTAAGGAGATCACCTGTAAAAAAGAAAATAATTATTTATTTATTACAGAATAAGCAGGCCATGACTTGTAAAACCTAAATTTCATATTAAATTGTAAAGTTACTGAAATATAAACTGGAGATGTAATCTAATAATATTCTAATTTCAGTTCGGCTATTAGATGAAAATCGATAAAAACTGAAAAATGTCCACCTGACCCTTCAGAATCAGCTGATCTCTTTGAACTTTTTAAATACAGCAGAAACTGCAGGACTCAGAATCCAAAGCCAGCTTCATTATCTGTTTAACCAACTCTGAGCATCACGGCTTGTATTGTAGCTGCAAGAGGTTTAACACTGTGATGTAACAGAAACAAGGACCTGGGGTTCTGTGGGGGCGAGGGGGAGGCCGCATTTTCTCCAGAAAAGGGAATTTTCAAGCATCATTGGCAGAGTGTCGTTATTCAAACCTGCTCTCCAAGTTTGTCAAATTCACTGAAAAACGAATTAGTCTTCGTGTGTCTCTGGCTGCTGTTTGTTAAAAGCATCTGTCATTCTCTCCGTGTAGGAAATAAAACCTGAAGATGTCAACAGGAGCGCAGCTCACACCGCCGCAGACAGAGACACCACCGCACTCACAGATGTGCACAACATAAAAACAGAGAATCACGCAGGCGGCGGCGAGCAGGCGCACACTCGGACGTGCGCAGCGGAGCCTCACGCGGCGTCGGTGGCCGAGTGTCAGCTGAACCTGCTGGAGCACATCGAGTCCCTGCACCAGCAGATCAGCGCCAGGATGGACGTGATCGAGAGAGAGCTGGACGGTAACGCACACGTTGAATGTAAAAGACAGAGTTGCACACAACACTCCACATTAATCATCATTCAGTGTTATTAAAATAGTCACGGTGGCTTCGTCTGGTTACGAAAGCAGAGAGAAATATTTAGAGAAAGAAGCAAGTAAGTAATTATCCACCGCGAGTTAGAGCCATTCTAGCTGGAGGAGAATAATTACTGAGGCGTGGGAGGAAGAAGAGAGAAGGTTCGGTTTTTGCGTCGCTTCACTTGGAGGGGTCGTGAAGCTCATGCATCCTGATCGCCGTGTTCCTGCCTGCTGCTCCACTTTCACCGTATTGATTATTTAGACCTGACATTATTGTGAAAAAGTATCTATCGCATCTTCATTGCATGTTTGGCCTTTAATTTAATTGGGATTAGAGAGGTCTCGCTTCACTGCTGTACATCATGTATCTTGTGTGACTGACAGCAGCGCGTGCCTGAGCGTGATACAGCAACGCTGGGTTGGACGTGATGAGGCGTCAGAGTCGTGCTGTGCTCCTAAGTTACACCTCGGTGTTAGTTTGTGTCCACATGTGCTCGCTGCTGGTCGTAAAACTCGCTCTTCTCTGTCTTCAGTTCTAGAGTCCTGGTTGGACCACTCCGGCGAGCTCGAGCCTCCTGACCCTCTGTCCCGCCTCCCGCAGCTCAAACAGCGAATCAAACGGCTGCTGTGTGACCTGTGCACCGTGAGGCGCCTGTCGGTCTGCCGCTGACCGCCCTCCCTCTGAACTCTGACGAGACAAAGAGCGTGAAACTCTGAGTTGACTGTGGTTTGTTTCCCTGCAGTTACAGGACAGCGCCCCCCTGTGGTGGAGAAAAGGTGCTCTGCAACAAGATGGTGTTTTGTTTTTTTTGTTTTTTTAATACAACGCGACTGTTCCTGAAACGCCTCCAGCCGGACTTGAGAGCCCGTGTGAGCACCAGGCGAGGACGAGTTAGGTCATTGATCAGCTGTCATCCGTCTCATCGGGACGGGATGATGTTTGTCTCTGTGGAGGCTGAACGGACGCGTCGTCTGCCATCAGCTCGTTGTTTTTCTGCCAGCCAGCATCGAAGTGTAACAACGCACACAAAGGATTTGGATATCGTATATTTTCTAATTGTACTAATATTGCCAGTACTAATAATTGTTTGTTTGAAAGACTCTTGGAGGGTTTTACAGTCTGGTGAGACCAGGAGGTTCTTAAGGGTTGGTGACCACTAACTGCCTTTTTTTTTAATGTTAGGAATCAGTGCGATGTGGAGCAACAACAAAACGGCTTCAGTGTTCCTCAGGAAGGATACCCTTCAAGCAGCTTATTTTCCTACCCACACATATTTAATCTGACTAATTTACTGCAGGACATACCCCTTACTTTTATTTTGAAAGTCACTGCTTCATTGTTGTGTGGTTCCTGATGACTGATGTCATCACCGCTGGGGTGGGGCAGCACCACAGGTTAATTAATCATTGATCAATAATCATTATGCCCAGTGTGAGGCCAAACACCTTTAGTTTATTTGTCACTTCCAGCATGAAGAGACGTTTACACGTTTGTGTAAAGCCACGACTGATTATGACGACTCGTGAGCGTCTGTGGGACTCTGCAGCAGTTTCAGGTTTCAGCGTTTTTGCTCAGCATTGGACTGATTCCAAGCTTTTTTGTCTTCTGTAATAATTTAAACCCAGAATGGAGCAGCGGGCTTTGTACCACACTGTGAACAGTGAGGCATGTTTAGGCTGGTGTTATACAAATCTTGAATATGGTTCAGTTTTCATGTACGTAAAGCTCTGAACCAGTCAACAAAGATGCAGGAGGTCATCACTGTGCAGACTGCAGCAACAACCAGGCAAAGCCTACTGGGGACTCAGTGGTGAGCAATGGCCTTGATCTGTCCCACGGGCCATGGTTTGTTCCTGGTCTTTGACTGAAGGAATGATGTCACAGATACATGCAGCTGAAAGAACGTGTGGGCTCAGCCGTAGAGCGGACGAGGGGCTGTGGCGTCCCCGAGGGAGCTCAGAGTAGTCGCTGCACCTCCACGTCTAAAGGAGCCCGGTCATGAAAATTGCAGAGGGAGTCCACGCCTGGAATACCTACTTAGCCCACTGCCACCAGCAGACGGGCAGAAGGAAGATGGAAAAATCAGCCGCAGGTTAACAGATACTGAGGTTTTCCTTTCACGAGCTGTTTCAGTTGCTAATTTGAAGTTGATGCGGTCAGTTTAACCGTTTCAGACAACTAAAAATTCTGCTCCTGCATTTTTCACTCATTCAGAATCAAACAGTATATCTTTTAAAAGCACAAAAACTCGACACCAAATGGTGTGAACCACTTATAAAGAGCACAGAAACAGTAGCTCTTTGTACTAATCTGTCGTTTCTCACCTCTGCTGAGCGCTGTTTTCACTACAAGTGTCCAACAAACGAAATGCTTCCAGACTTTCAGTGTCTTCAGTGGAAAAACAGGGTTTAAAAACACGCATGTTTAAATGGATGTAAACAGCTAACTGCAGAGCCGATCACATTCAGTTCTGTTAGAAAGTTATTCGGGGAAATTCTGGGAATCATTTTGCAGGAGGAATTCATCCATTCGTGGTATGATTCACTGCTGGCTCGAGCTGTGAGAGGTCACCCAGATGAGGTTGTGGTGGCAGACTGTCATTACAGTGTCAGCTTTGGCGTCCTGTTGGTGTTTCTCTGTTAAAAGCCTCATTGAGGGAACAGTTGTATTCCCCTCCTCCTGTCCTCGTTTATCTGCTTTTCTGCATTTATTTGTTTGTTCAAATAGACAGTATCTTGGGTTGTGAACAGCATGATACATTTTTTATTCTGGACTCTTCAGTGTTAGCTTTGCTTAATTCACAGTTAATAATTTATCTGCTCTGTTTGAAACTGTTTCAGCTCGTCTGCCTTTAAGGCTACTCTTTCCTAATTGGTTGCTCCTCTTAAATAGAAGATTTGGACAGTAGGTGGGTGGGGCTTATGTGCCTGAGATGACCATATTAGTAATATCCTCTTTCTGTGACATCATACAGATCCAGGGATAGAAAAAAAGCTGCCTGATATGTGGGCTCACAGCAAATTGTTCTTCATGTTAAACATGAACTTCCACGGCTGGCCCCAGAAATAAGGAAAAGCAGAGTATGTCCCCGGCTTTTTATTTTTTAACAGCTGGCTCATAATAAGTTTTATATGTATGAGTTCTGAACCAGACTGTCCTGCACAGAATCAGATGGAGAAAACTGCAGGTGCTGTTGTTGGTGCAGTCTGCCATTAAAGCAAACAGCCTACTGTTAGATTAAGAAACCCCAGCAGCTTTAAAATGTACATATGTCTGAATGAAGTTTTATATTCTTGAACAAGAAGCTAACTGTATATAGCTGTAGATTTTATTTTGATAGAATGGCTTGAAAGTGGAACTTTCCAGGAAAACAGTTCATTTCATGTTATTTTCAGTTTTTCCTTCAGCGTCTCGTTACACTCTGAAAAACTTACCTGCTTAACGCTGATGTGTCTTTAATCCAACCTGTTGCTTCTCTTCAGTTTTTTAAAGTTTTATTACCACGCCGGCTAAAGATGCTGTGTTACGTATCGCAGCCCGCAGGGGCGTCTGACTCAGACCACATGAACTGTATATAAAAGATGGACACATAACATAAAGTCACCAGAACAGCGCTTCCTGAGATTGGCAATATCAGGAAGCGTCTCATAGACATTTCATCCAATCAGACAGCTTTTCACAGCCACAGTCGCCGCCCTCTGCTGGTCATCAGAAAGCAGGTTTAAGGCATTTACGTCTTTCTTTCATATACAGTCCCAAGTTTTCATTTTTATATTCATACTCTTGTTTAAAGCACGAGGAAATGTGTTTTTCTGAGGAGTTGTAGCTTTGAATAAAGGTATAAAATCCCAGTCGGTGTGGTTGTATCACATTCAAGTGTCTGGATTTAAAGACCGCAGTGCTTTCCAGATTGAATACGTGCCCACGTGTTCATTACTCCTGTTTGTGGTTTGAGTTATTTTTAAAGATTTATTTACTATGATCAACTTTTTAGTTCAACAAATGAGCACATCTGGATGCTTTTCAGCTATTTAAAGATATAATTTGCATTACTGAGACGACTTTTTAGGCCACATGTATCCCAGCATTAATGAGTCACGCTGGGCGAAGGAATTATACAGATCACACAAACAGAACAGCTTGGAGAGCTTTTTTATTTTAACTGGAATTGAACGGATTAGAAAAGATTGATACTTACTGAAGAGATGAGATTATGCTTCAAATATAATCTAAAATCCAGTCTTCAAATATGAGATGAAAATTATCCATAAAACTGGCAAATATTTATCATTTCAAATGTAATATAACTGACCCCGAGATGTTTACAAGGTAACACACAGAGCACGAGTTACTCCCTAACCCAAAGCATATTCCTGTTTGTTTCATGCAGTTTTTGTTGTCCCGCTGAGACACTGATGGGTTTTTCTTTGTGTTTAAACCTAAAATCAGAGGCTTTAATCTGAATGAGAGGTTTTCCCAGGCGAAATCAAAAATGTAATAATGATAAAGAATAAAAAGGTTGGCAAATTAAACAAAAAATGTGAGTGAATGGAAAAAAACCCATTAACATACAGAAATGAAAAGATGGAAACTGTTAAATGTGTGATCGTCTCTCAAACAGCATCTACAGATTATGCTGATCCAGACTTTAGGTCACAGATTAGTCCTCAGCAGAGAAGAGAAAACTCATGTTTAAACCTCTGACGTCCATCATCTGCCGCTCTTCACTGTTGAAGTATGCGGTGCCGTCATGCTCTGATCTCAAGAGCAAACCAGCGTCATTGATACCTACGAGTGAAGAAGGGATATAAATGGCCTGCAATCTTCAGCAGTTAGTTTACTAGATTTGACCAGGATTTCATCATTAAGGGACGGGATGACATTTTATGGTTCTTTCCATCCCATGATCTTCACTTAACTCGTGTTCATCAGAATCAGAATCAGAATCAGAATGGGTTTATTGCCAGATGTTGAGGTTTACAACATTAGGAATTTGCTGCGGTGCTTCAGTGCAAACAATAAGAATTAAAGTGCTATGTAGAAAGAAAGATATGTGCATGAGATATACATTAGATATATACATGAGAATAAGAATTAAGAGTGCTACGTAGAAGGATATATACATGAGTGCAGGTGGTGATCAGTGCCAGACATGTTAACAATGAGAGAAAAAATGGTGAAAATATTCAGGACAGCAACAGTTTTGAGACACCTGTCCTTTGATAGATGTGTCAGTGTGTGTGCAGTGACACAGAAAGTGTTGTGTTCAGGTCCAGTCAGCCAGATGGTCTCACTGTGCGTCCGCAGACCACCGGGACATTTCCTGTTGGGACAGACTGTGTTACACACTACAGTCCACTGAGCAGCAACATAAAAATGGTATTTCCAGGATTTTATAGACGAGCTGGGACAGTAAGGATTGCATCATTAGTCTGATAAACAGGCCTGTAATCTCCACACAATTTCCAAAAAACCCAGGACAACAGCCTGTAAGACAGATCAGCTGATCAGAATATAAATGCAAAAACACAGTCCTGGTGGATAAAGCTGCTCAGAGGAACTAAGGTCTTTGATCCATTTGTTTCTGCATGGTGACCAATATTTGAGCTTAATCTCATTGTGCTGGACGATTTTCAGCTGCTGCTGAAATAATTTGGACTTTAATTTGGTTTCATTTCATCTGTTTTTACAACATGCACAAAAAGAAACCATTCTTTTGTTTTTTCAGTTTGAAACTAAATGCCAGGATTTTGTTTCTCTTCTTGCCAGAAAACCGAACATCCCATCTGGCTTCCTCACTGGTTAACTCTCCATTACTCCTACATTAATGAAGAAACTACCAACTCAAAGTTGGTAGAGAGATAAAATGTAATCCTGTGTTTTGTCTCAGACTGATTATTATTTCCTGTTCCAACAGGACTGTGCACAAAGCAAGGTCCACAAAGGCATGGATGAGTGAGTTTGGTGTGGAACTGCGCTTGTGGAAGAATGTTCAAAAACTCTAATAAACCTGCACAAAGCCTTCTTAGAAGAGTTGAAGCTGCTATAGCTGCAAAGGGTGGTCCGACATTATATTTGACCCTATGCATTAAAATTGGGATGTCACTCAAGTTCACATATATGTGAAGGCAGACAAGCGAATACTTTTGTTAATATAGTGTGGCATAAATATATCGTAATATAACATAAAGTCATTGCAGGTGTGTTATTAAGGTTTATTAAATATTTCATTCTTTTTTAACACATTTACAGTAAGAGGAAGAACAAACCAATGTCTCTACATACAGTCATGAAACAGAAAGTACACTCTTTGAGTAACAACATTTAATATATCAGGACATAATAAAAAGCATTGTGTCTATTTCAGGACTTGAAATGAGGTAAATCCAACCTTAAACGAACAACACGTGATATATTACACTGTGTCATTGTTTACTCCTCAAGAGGTGTGTACAAAATGTAGTAGTCCCTTACTGCTCCCATAAAAGTTAAGCAGGTCAGTTGGTTTGATTAACCGATTATCAGGATTTGGGAGCACCTCTGTGATAGAGAGGTGCTGTACAAGAGCATTCAGGTGTGTGAACACAGTGCCACAATCTTTAAAGTGGTCGATGTTCCAGAAAATTCCCCTCAAGGTCAGACTATACAATGCTCAGAGAAATGTAAAAGATCCCAGGCCGCATTTAAATGTTTAAGATCAGGACAGGACCATTGAAAGACTGAATGTTAAACAAGTACAGTTTATTGAGCAGATTTGCAGAAGAAAGTCTCGTCTCTCTAAAAAGAACATGGCAGCACAGCTTAGATTTACTGCATCTTAACAAACCACAAGACTTCTGGAACAATGTCCTTCAGACAGATGAGAGCTAAATGCAGATGTTTGCATATATAATGCACAGAACAACACTTGGAGTAAAGCAAACACATCAGTACAAACACCTCACACCAACTGTATGCACGGAGGCTGAGGGTTGGTGATTTGGGCACCTTGCAGTTATTGACCATGAACTGTTTTCTATACCAAAGTACTCTGGAGTCAAATGCGAGGCCACAGCTAAAGCTCAGATCAAATTAAATCATGCAACATGACTCAGTGTTGGGAAGGTTACTTTTAAAATGTATTCCACTACAGATTACAGACTACATGCCCCAAAATGTATTTTGTAACGTATTCCGTTACGTTACTAAACGAGAGTAACGTATTCTGAATACTTTGGATTACTTAATATATTACCATGCTTTTACAACTACATGAATGTACTATTGCCGTGTGATTTATTACTGTTACTGAAGGTCCGCGGCTCCGAACCGTAGTAAAGGGACCTCTGACTAATTTGCTAATTTAATCAAATTAAAAACTACAAATAAAGTTTAGCAGTAAAAAAAAAAAATTAATATATATATATATATATATATATATATATATATATAGACTTTGTGGACTGGTGCCAGCTGAACTACCTCCAGATCAACGCCAGTAAAACCAAGGAGCTGGTGGTAGACTTCCGCAGGCACAAGCATTGTCCACTGCAACCACTGAACATCCAAGGTATGGACATTGAGGCTGTGGACAGCTACAGGTACCTTGGTGTTCATCTGAACAACAGACTGGACTGGACTCATAACTCAGACGCCCTCTACAGGAAAGGGCAGAGCAGGCTGTACCTGCTGCGGAGACTCAGGTCGTTTGGAGTGGAGGGCCCACTCCTGAAGACCTTCTATGACTCTGTGGTGGCTTCTGCTATCTTTTATGGTGTGGTCTGCTGGGGCGGCAGCATCTCTGCTGGGGACAGGAAGAGACTGAACAGGGTGATCCGAAGGGCCAGCTCTGTTCTAGGATGCCCTCTGGACCCAGTGGAGGTGGTGAGTGACAGGAGAATGGCGGCTAAGCTGTCATCCCTGATGGACAACATCTCCCACCCCATGCAGCAGACTGTGACAGCACTGAGCAGCTCCTTCAGTGGGAGACTGCGGCACCCACGGTGTGGGACGGAGAGATTTCGCAGGTCTTTCCTCCCCACTGCTGTCAGACTCCACAACAAAGACTTTAACTGATCAAGCACACACATCCACACATGTGCAATAATACTAAGTGCAATAATCTTTTCTGGCATCATTGTATTTTTACTCAGTTGTATATAGCATTCGTATTCTATTTTTATCTTATTGTATATTTTTATTCTATTTTATTCTACTGTATATAGTATATTATTTTATTCTATTCTGTACAGTTGTGTACTGTATTTATTCTTATTGTATTCTAATTTTTGCCTCATAACTTTTGCACTGTCCACTTCCTGCTTTGACAAAACAAATTTCCCACGTGTGGGACTAATAAAGGTTATCTTATCTTATCTTATATCAGAAACAAAGCTTCTGGTGCTCGTGGAAAATTTTAACACCTGTTGAGAATATGGCGGCTGATCTCGTGACCTGTTGTTTACGCTGACGTAGCTCCGCCCCGGACTGTCCGCGTGCTGCTGGTTGCGAGCTCAGTCAGTGAGAGAGGATCCTCGCGACCACGTCGATCTTAACGGCTGTCTTTGACGTTGAAACGGTCACAGGCTGCTGGATTAAACCGGTAACCTGAGCAGATTCCGGCGTTAACAATACACGGTGAGTAGCGTCTGGTCCGACTCGGCTCGGCACGAACTAATGACTGCTCTTCAGGATAATTAACCAGTTAACGGGTAAATGAGCGGGTTAGTTTCAGTGTTAACTCTTACTAGTTAGTGGTGGAGGTTATTAGCTCGGAGAACTAGCTTACATGGCGGCGGTGTGTTTGGTAACAGGTGTGTGTCGGTAACGTAGCAACGGTCGGTCTGCGGCTTAGCATCCGCGCTCATTAACGTTAAACGTTAAAGATCCTCCACAGTATAACTCCTGCCACTGTGTGTGTGGGCGTGTGGGCGGACAGCCTCGGTACATCCCGTTCAGCCCAGCCTCGCATCTATTGTTGTTACACGTTAATTAGTCGGATGGATGTCGGCAGGTGCGTAGCTGTTTGAGGCGTTTACAAGAACGTCGTGATGAGGCTTGTTTATAGAGCTGGGATTAAATAAATCCGCTCATGATGTCAGTCTCCTCACTTTTGCTAGTGCCGCACGTCCTGATCATTTACCTTTGATTTTATCAGCTCGTTTTCAGCCCCTTCTGATATAAAGCTGCAGTTCATTCCATTTGTTTATAGTCTGGGCATAATCAATCAATTTTATTGATTTCTTTATTGAGGTTCCTGGCTTAAATGGGGCTGTTCTATATACAGTTAAGGCAGAGGGTCTGTGTTATCTGACATAACAAATGTCTGTGCGGGTTCCTGAGATTTATGGCCATTAAATGTGTTTCAACAGCATTTTCATAAACCCTGCAAGAATCACCGATAAATATTAATGTGTAGGACAGGGGTGTCAAACTCAAATACACAGTGGGCCAAAATTCAAAACTGGAACAAGGTCGCGGGCTAACATTAATATTTATGGAAGAAAAAAATCTTCCTCCAGATTTAAGAATTAATCTTTTCTTTTGGACTCAAACAAGTTTTGCTGAAAAACTGATTATGGAACAAGCAAAGCTTAATACTAAACGATATATATATTAGCTGTATAATACCAGCAGGCCAGCTCTAATAATAATTTGGTATGGCTTCGCGGGCCAAATGTAATTAGGCTGCGGGCCAAATCTGGCCCGTGGGCCAGAGTTTGACACCTATGGTGTAGGATGAGACCATGTATGAATCTGTAGATGAAGAGCTACAGAAACGCACACAAAGGCACTAAAAGAGCAAATATATGATGACTTTAAGGACTCCTGTGTTAGGCTCACAGCACAGCTTTCTTATCAGTTTCACAGTCTAATAATAGTAATAATATAATAATATATCTCTTGGGTCATTGGGAATTTTGAATTGGTCTTTTAGAACCTATTTCGTTGGTCAGTCCTTAAAAAGCAGGTGGACAAGCAGAAGCCCACAGACTGGGAGGCAGGGATGAATCTCCAGAAGCTGATATAAGCCTCTACAGTCACTATATCACAGAAACATGTAAAAAATAATAATAAGAGAAATAAAAACTGAAGCTGCGAATAAATGAAACACAAATTTTTACTGTACTGCTGGTACCTTGAGCTTTAATGTAGGAGCGGCAATGCTCAGCCTCGCTCTCATGCTGCAGGCATCGCTGCTAGAAACTGAGAGGATAGCAAAGTTTAGCATAAACTTATTTAACCTGTTCTTTGTTTCTGTGTTAAACAAACCTGTGGTAGACAGGAGCGGCTCGAAAAGTCACTTCTTCATATTTCAGTTGATCACACGGTTTATTAAAGGACTCTTAATGGCTTTTCCCCCACTGAGCTTTTAATCACAGTGACGAGTGGTGCTGCTGTTGCTTTGAGTCCTTTTCTTTCACTCCACCTGGGCTCGCCGCCTCGGTCGTGGCTCCGCCTCGTTGCCACTTGCTGTGAGAGAAGAGGCATCAGCTCACCATAAACTACCACAGCACCATCTGTGCTGCTGTTTTAGTCACAGGTGTGCTGCGAAACACATTTTAAAGTCTGCACTCCATTTTTAGACACATGAATGAAACCGTCACCACAGACACCTTCACTTGTGTTTACCACACCACTAATAACAGCCTCTGTGTTTCAGTTGCCTCACACGCTGCCTTAATACAACACTGAGATACCATCAGGAAAGAAAAACTGTTGGTTAGTCAGGGTTGTACCAGTCTGTTTGCTGATTGGAAACAGCATCAGTGGCAGGAACAGACCAATGGCTGGCCAGTCAGCTTTATTGGGCCTGGACCATCAGGTCATCGGTTTTGTTGCAGACTGTGGATGCAGCAAAGAGCCTGGGGTGGACACAAACCCAGATTCTCACTCCCAGCTCATCACATAGTGGCTTTTATATGCGAGGCCCATCATTCTCAGCCAGATGAGCTCTAAAAGCGTGCTGTGATGAGCCACATTTGAAATAAATCATGTTGAAATCAGATGGATTTTTACACTAATTTTGAATTTGAATTTTGCACTGAATTCAAGCTCTTGTTGGACTTTGATATAACTTTGATATAATAGGTAATGTCTATATTTTTCCTCAGAATGGTAGTTAAAATAAAAACTGCAGCATGTCTAAGTTGAGGTGTAGTTTTTGGATTCGCCGCGTGTCTCATATCAGGTTGCTGCAAATGTTCAAAAGGAGCCTCAACTACTGCATAGAAACAGTCATCCTCCCTGGTCTCTGATCCCCGGTCCTGAGAAGACATTTTCTTTTAGAAGACGCATAAATCTGTTTCACCTCAGTGCCGCATAATAAGAGTAAAATCTAATTGTAAAAAAGATCAGTTTAATTTCTGTACCGTTCATGTTTGGGTTTGGGATTGAGCTCGTTTTGTTTTCAGTTTGAGCTCCATCTGACTCGCACGCCGATTGTGTGTTTGGGTTGGAGCCAAAGTGCCCACAGGAAGCTCAACATCCATCCAAACCACTCTGCTGAAACACTGTTACCCAAGCTGTCTGCCCACACACACACACACACACACACACACACACACACACACACACACACACACACACACACACACACACACACACACACACACACACACAGGAGGATGGCTTACTTCCAGCCAGAGATCACTGTTTCCATTAGAGTCACACAGTTGGATTACACAGGGTGAATTGTCCCACAGGTGGACTGTGACAGAGGCACAGAGACTGGGTTCATCCATCCACGGATGGATGGAAGGATAGAATGTCGGTCCAATGGAAATCAAATTAATTCACACCATGACATTTTCTGGTATTAGTGAAAGTCGATTCCATTCATCTGGATGTGTGATTTTGGGTGGGAGGGGTGTTTCGTCGCTTGTCCGGGTGACCTCTGCACTCTGAGCCGACTGCAGGTTTCCCCAACAAACGGTGCAGTTGTGTGGTTACTGGAACTAGCATTATTTACTAGCAATGTAGGATTGTTAATATGCAATCCTACATTGCTAAGATGGTGAAAGATGTACTCTAAGACCTCCTCCTCATTTCAGAGATGTTTCTTTTTCCTTTTCACGTAAGCGTCATCCTTGATTCTCTGTTTAAACCAACGTTCCTCTGTGTTGGTTTAACACCTGCACACTGGCTTGCAGGTGTTAAATTGACTGACGAGTCCCAGCCTGATGATTTCTGTGTTCTGCTCTCCTCTAATTTGGTTGTTTGGTTTACCCAATATGTGATTTGCGGTAGAGCAGGGCGATATGGCCAAAAATATTTATCACGATATATATTTGAAACGATATAACTGACGATATAATTTATGCGAGACAAGATACAACTCCACGACTTTACTAGCGCAAAAAACCCCGTCCATTTATTTTCATTTAAACAAGCAGCTGTTTTTTATGTGCATTAAAGCTATATAAAAATGTAACAGTGCAAATGCAAATTCCTTGCTGAAAAGCAAGGCATTTCCAGTAGAAATGGGCTGGCATATCCTGAGTTCACCATGTATAGTATCCACTAAAGTTAAAAAGAGGTGCTTTGCTACATTAAGTGCAGTGTGCCAAATAAAAAAGTCAAATATGTATTTTTCGGACTATAAGGTGCTCGGGATTATAAGACACATTAAGCAAAACAAAGCAGTCAGATAAATCAAACTTTACTCAACTCATTCTTCTTGCTTCCTCCACTTCTGTACCATTGATTCATTAATGCTGTATTCTATCACAGCTGCTCTATTCCCATGTTGTTGCAGTATATTAATGACTAACCTCGTATTGTGGATGGATTATCTCAGTTGTTCTCCTGACTGAAGTTTGGTCCGTTTACAGCACATTATATACCAGCTAGTCCAACTTCAGTAACCCTACAAACGTCACTGCTGTTTAGTTTTCTGTCTTCATTTATGTTGGAAGTCAGAGAGAGGAGCAGAGCTGTATGTTTGAATTTTTTCAGAAATCTCTCAGTCAGAACATGCTATATCATGCGTGGTAAATAGCGAAACTAGCGAGCTAACTTCCGCTAGTTTCCTGCTAACTTCTAACTCCGTTAAATGTAATAAATTTTGTTTTGATGGATGCCTGGATGCTAAACTTCATAGTTACACCTGGCTGGCAAAGCAGCAATGCTGATCCTTTTATTAAAGATGAAAGAATTTAGACAGTTTTTAACGCTCAGTGATGCTGCAGTGTTCATTTGACTTTGGGACCTGAAGTGGACGGCGTTTTGGACCCAGATTACTCCCAGATTTACGAGCGCCTTAGTCCGACAAATACGGCAATAACGACGGCCGCTTGCATGTTCTACAAAAAAAAGTGCTTTCTTGTGTATCTGACGGACAAACACCAAACCAGTTCCACATCACTGAAGTTGCACCATTTTTACAAACAATTCTGGTTCATCGGTTTCACTCAACGATCCGCTGTCCCTCATTCTCCGTCGCCGCCATGCTTTTCGGCCACGTGCGTATGAAGACAAAGACACTGCACATGCAAGTTTTACCCATATTCTATCGCGATATTTTATTTTCTTATCGTTGCCTAACATTGTACCGGTATTACCGTGAACGGTATAATATGGCCCAGCCCTAATTTGCAGTGTTGATTTTGGTACATAACCGTGTACGCTATATTAGTTTGTATGAGCTCACGGCCCATTGTTGGTTAGTGGACAACTGTACTGCTGTTGGCTGGGACTGAGGAGCTCACTTAGATGGGTGAGGAAGTGTTTCTTCCACTGATAGAGCTCCACCTCCACTCTCATGCATCATGGTATTAGGTATTTCATTTATAATATTGTTTTTAAAATAGTCATGAAAATGTTATTTTTAATTCCATTGAAATTAACCAAGTTAATTTGAAAATAAATTAGATAATTGTGTCATGAATAAGACATCAAAAAAGAAGAAAACAATGTTCTCACAACTGTTTTATTACATGATGAAACATATCTGTTCCACACTCACACACGTCATGGAAACACATTCACAAAAATGAAATTGTCTGTATTAAAGGAAACCTTCAGGAAGAAAACTGTCATCGTTAAATACTTGTGACAGTCACACCTGTGAGATCTTCACAGCTGCTGGATCATAAACTTTAATGCCAGCACTCATTTATAAAATCCATTGAATTAAAACTTTGAAACTCTTTAAATTCTTTGTGAGTCTGTTCTAACATTTTATGTGCTCATTTAGCTCACATGTACCAACTGAAACCAAATTCAGCTCTTAGCAAATCTTTATCTTAAAAACATGCGTGTCCGAAGTTTCTTAGTGGAGTTGTAGCTGTAGTGCTGCAGTCCACGCAGGGCAAACTAAAGAGACGGGCGCAGCCAACAGAAAGTGCAGCAAAAATGAAAGTTGATGCTGAAGAGAATTTCCAAGCTAGTTGAGAAACTGGGTACGTCTCCAGTCAGTGTAAAGAGAAGCTGCCGACAAAGAACAAAGGGGTCAAGGCTTTGGCACAGCGGGCTGTTTCTTTGAGTCTACTTTCAAAGCTGGATATGAAAGTTTCACGTTTTTGTGCTGGTAAAGTTGGCCTGAAGGGTTACAGGTAAACTACAGAGCTGCCATGTTCAGGCCTGAGGGGCTTTAAGACACATGCATGGATAAAATTGGATTAAACATTAGCATCTTGATGTGCCACATACGCCCAGCAGCTTCAGGTCTGAGGCTGTGTGGTTTCCTTCCTGCAGCACAGGAATCAGAAGGCTTAGTTTTGGTGAACTCGTTGTTTTAAAGGCTAATAAACTGTAGTAAAATGAGTCAAGTTTTACTTCCTACACAGTTTGTTCTTAATGTTTGTTTGTTTAAAAGTTAAATTGTTGTGGATGTGAAACAGTGTCAGCTGTTTTTTATTTACTTACTTTTGCTTCCTCTTATGCTTCTGACCACCCCCCCCAAAAACAAACAGGAACGTTGTTTTTATTTATATATGTATTTATTAGAAGTCTCGACAACTGCAAGTAAAACAAACTGTTCCTCTTCCTGTTTGTGTGCTTTAACAGGTGGATTGTCCTATGATGGAGGAGCTACATGATGTCCAGCTCACTGAGATCAAACCACTGCTGACAGGACAGGTGAGGGGGCGGGGCTTACAGGGTGCCCTCAGACCTGGAGTCCAGGAGTTGGATGAAGTAAACTGTAAACTTTTATTAAGCTACTTCTGAGGAAAATGATTTTCTGTCAAATGAATTATAAAATACAGAGGTACAGTCGTCTTTGTGTTCAGTTCCTGGAAACTGCGATTGACATAAAAAGTGACAATTTTGTCTCTGTCTCTTCAGAATGGGAGGAATCTCCAGGATTTCGATTGTCAGGTGAGTCATCAGCAGAAATTCTGTTCATATTGTATTCATGGACAACATTTAACTGTTTCTGAGATGTAACACGGCCACCAACCGTGAGAGTTCTTAGTAATGACCCCAGCAGGGTCTTCTTTAAAATTCTTAGAGTGAACAGTACAAGTTTATTTGATAACCTGTAGCTGAGAATGAAAGTGACTCTGTGTGAGAGAAGTGGATAAAACCTCAGAGATACTTCATCCTTGTGTAATTACAGGCCCATCAAACAGTGTTTGCTGTTTGATGGCTGCTGTGTGTTGTTGAGCAGAATCGATTTAGGAGGAAACAAGTCCACACTGATCAGTCACGTTCAATATTAGCTATTATTAGAAGCGGCGCTGATGGAGGCACATCTTTTATTGAACTGTTGTTCACCTTTACATGCGTGGAAGCAGAGGGGGTGGAAGCATTTACAGAGCAGCCTGTTTTTGTATCAGCACCCAGCTGTGGTATGTGTTTGGGCTATTTCAGCACTCTAACTGTCCAGAACTGGAGGTTTTCTTCATTTTGGAGTGTTTATTTCCCCCTCACTTTGATCTAGTTCTTGTGTTTTAATCTGAAGGTTTGACTGTGAAAGGGGCTGTTCAGTTTTTGGACTCTCTCAGCTGATTTAGCTGTGGCCCTCTGGTCCAACCTCAGTGTGAGTTTAGGGTCTTCTAAACCTGCTTGGACCGATCCTGAGATGACATGCATGATGTCAGCTGATGTGATAATACACTATGCATTCTTCCTGCCTTGTAATAAAAACAAAGGCTGGTCCAAAAAAAGACAAACAAGCAGAGTTTAACTGTATGGATGGAAAGTGTCCCAGTCTGTCATATTTGAGGAGAACTGTGAGGCTGAAGTCAGCAGGACTGCACATGGATCGATCCTCTGGACCCGTCATATTAACGTCACAGCAGGTCAGTCTGCATCAGCGACGGGGTAAATGTAGAGCAGTGAGCTGCTGCTCGGACTGTTTGTTCCCCAGCTGTGTTCGTGTCAGGGAAATCGACATTTTCCTCACAATTTAAAACAAAAATAAAAACGCCAATAATACAGTAGATGACATTCAGTGTATTTCATATCACCCACTGGTTACAGACTTGGTATTTTTGCTGTAGATCAGAATTAGTCAAGTGGGCACAGTGCTAAGTTATTAGCTAATTCTAGCTAGCTCGGATATCAGCCTGCACCCATAAACTGGACAGCTGCGTCACACAGATACCTGCTAGATAGTGCTCCACAACATCTGGAGAAAAAAATCCTAGAACTTCCCAAATCAGCACAACAGCACGGTCCACAGGTCCAGACTCAGGTGTCTGTGTGTTCTGTTAGAGGACTGAAGATTAATCAGGACAGTAAATTCTCAGCAGAGTTTTAAATTAGTCAGTTTCAAGAGCAGGAGATGAAGTTTAATTAAAAAGTTCCACAAACGTCTCAGGTGGTTCACTCAGAGTGTGCAGCTGTGAGTCTGCTTCTTTTCTAGTGATCTGAGCTTTTCTTAAAAACAGCCAGGTGGATAAATCCACTGATTTCTGGGTAATGGTGTTAAATCCACCTGTTGAGCTGGCAGCTAGGGCTGGGCCATATTATACCGTTCACGGTAATACCGGTATAATGTTAGGCAACGATAGGAAAATGAAATATCGCGATAGAATGGGAGTAAAACGCGCATGCGCAGTGCCTTTGTTTTCATACGCACATGGCCGATTGTTGAGTGAAACAGATGAACCAGAATTGGTTTGTAAAAATGGTGCAACTTCCGTGATGTGGAACTGGTTTGGTGTTTGTCCGTCAGATACACGACAAAGCACATTTTTTTGCAGAACATGCAAGCGGCCGTTGTTATTGTCATATTTGTCGGACTAAGATGCTCTTAAATCTGGGAGTAATCTGGGTCCTAAACTCCGTAATCTTCAGGTCAAACAACACTGCAGCATCACTTAGAGTTAAAAACTGTCTAAATTCTTTCATCTTTAATAAAACGATCAGCATTGCTGCTTTACCAGGTGTAACTATAAAGTTTAACTTCCAGGCATCCATGAAAACAAAATGTATTACATTTAACGAAGTTAGAAGTTAGCAGGAAGCTAGCGGAAGTTAGCTCGCTAGTTTCGCTAGTTACCTTAGCATGATATTGCATGTTCTGACTGAGAGATTTCTGAAAAAAATCAAACGTACAGCTCTGCTATCACTTCCAACATAAATGAAGACAGAAAACTAAACAGCAGTGACGTTTGTAGGGTTACTGAAGTTGGGCTAGCTGGTATATAATGATGTGCTATGTGATCGCTAGCGACACAGCTATGTTAGCATAACATAAACAGTGAAGCTGGAGGACGAACACTAACACTTTTCCACTTATAAAAGTTAACGTTAAAGTTCCTGATAGTTAGAGACAAATGCAATCGCATGGCAGGATGCTGTAAACGGACCAAACTTCAGTCAGGAGAACAACTGAGATAATCCATCCACAATACGAGGTTAGTCATTAATATACTGCAGCAACATGGGAATAGAGCAGCTGCCAGAGAATTCAACATTAATGAATCAATGGTACAGAAGTGGAGGAAGCAAGAAGAATGAGTTTAATAAAGTTTGATTTATCTGACTGCTTTGTTTCGCTTAATGTGCCTTATAATCCCGTGCACCTTATGGTCCGAAAAATACGTACTGCACACTGCAGTTTAATGTTGCAAAGCACCTCTTTTTAACTTCAGTGGATATTATACATGGTTATGCTCAGGATATGTCAGCCCATTTCTACTGGAAATGCCTTTTGGTTAAACTTTCAGCAAGGAATTTGCATTTGCACTGTTACATTTTTATAAAGCTTTAATGTACATAAAAACCAGCTTCTTGTTTAAGTGAAAATAAATGGAAGGTTGTCTTTTTGCGCTAGTAATGTTGTGGAGTTGTATTTTGTCTCGCATCAATTATATCGTCGGTTATATCGTTATCGCAAATTTTCAAATATATATCGTGATAAATATTTTTGGCCATATCGCCCTGCTCTACTGGCAGCTGCACCTGCAGTACGCCTGTGTCGTCTGTGTGGTTTGTATGAGTGGAGGGAGCTCTCATCAAACCTCCTGCAGGTAGAAATAAAGTACCTGAAGCTGAAGGGGACTGCAGATAGAGAGAGGGCAGGTTCGACTGTTTAGACTTTAAGACCTTCCACTTCTCGGCCAATGACCACATGGATTATGTCTCTTGATCCAATCATACCACCCCGCTTCCCGTCTCTGTGTTCACTCAGCAGAAGGCTGAAGGACGTCAGCACGGCTGACCTCCATCTTTCTGAAACCTTTTCTCTTCCTCCTGTCCTCTGTCAGGATGTCTGACTCTCTGGATCTGCACCAGATCTTCTGTTCTTTAGAAGTTGGGGTGGTGAGTCAGCTGCTCATTAGCTCCTCTGGAGTCATGCTTCACCAGCTGATACCTTACAGCTGCTGAGCCAGTTTGCTTCGTAGCTTGCTCTCTGCTTTTAGTTGCCTCGAGTTAGCTGGAGAGGAGTTGGCTGCTTTTCCATGCTGTGATATTAATCCGTTAAAATGTTACTTACAACACGTCCGTCTATGTACAGCGCTATCGTGTCTGAGGACTGTTCTTCATGACTGTGGCTGCGTGTTTGGGCTCACTGTCACTGCTCTGATGGTACTGCATGAGTAACAGCATTGAGACCACTAATTTTGATTGCAGGGAATTCACTTCCTGCCTCAGACGGTTCAGAGGTCGCCGAAGTGGACCTCAGAACCGTGTGAGGTCCACTTGAATAAAGCGTGCTGTCAAAGCAGAGACTCAGCCGTTGCATTGGAAAACTGTGAAAACTAATTTTTGAGTTCAGTTCAGTATAGAGGCTTCATAATGTGTTTTCTTATTCTTTTAAGATACACTGTTTCCCCAAAGTCAGGAACAGCTGTAACACTTTAGCTAAAGCACTTTGTTTTAAACATGCTTGGAGCTTCACTCTGCTGCCTGCAGACTTTCATCCTACAAACTTCTGCTAGAGGAAGTATCACAGTTTGACTCACCAATCCAGAGAAAAGCTCTCACACTTTCATACAAAGGTGAATCCCTCCACTTGTTTTCCACATCACAGGTCCTGAGCCCGTCTGACCGCACTCCTGAATAAAGGTCTGCATGAAGCGAGTCCTCAGATTCACATCATCAGCCTAATTTATTTCCAGTCCTCACGTTGACGCACGTGTCTTGTTGCTGTGCTCACTTGTAGAAATGAGACTCATCAAAGAAACTGACTTTTCAAGCATCCTCGTGTTTACGTGCACTGAACCTCACACACGGGCTTGTACTCAGCCTGGTTTCACACAGGAAGTTTCAGAAGAGTCGTCCTGGGATCTTTTCCACAGTTTTCCTCTCTCACATGAAGCACGCAGCAGGAAACGACCTGCTTTAGACACGATTCTGAATTGATACTGATAGTACCTTAAATCATTTGTACAGAAGTCCACGTACTATGGACTTGCCAGTGATCACGATTATTTAACGAGGTTTCTCAAAGACTGGAAAAAATTGAGAGTACATCAAAATAGAAATCTGTGTTTTAATTAAGTGGATTTGCTTGAACTTTAATTACAGTTGAACTGGAAAAGCTAAATAAGTAAATCTGTGTGTACTGAAGCAGTTATTCCACAGCCTGGAGGGGGGAGAGTTTGGACTTTTCTGGAAAAAGTAAAAGAAAAATGTGCTGAAACAAACTTCTGTTCTTGTTCTAATATTAATTGGAACCCAAAATTGTAACTGAAATTAAAAATTGATCATTTTGTTCATGCAGACTTTTTAAAATAGAACTGAAGACCTGGTGTTACAGAGCCGCTGAGGTTAATGCAGTGCAGGTGTGAAAATGGCGTAGTCACGTGTCACATGATGTTGTTTATTAGCACGTTTATAGTATATTTACTTAGTGAGGTGCTCTTCTGTGTGTCCGCTGACTCTGTGCTTTGAGTAAAAGCATACGAATGCTCTCACTGTGCCGCAGATCCAAACATGTAAAACTGTGTGTGCATGTGAGTAAGTATGAACTTGAGATCCATTAATGGGATCTGTCAGGTGGTTCCATGAGTCAGTAATGAGATTACAGCACCCATGAATCCATTCACAGGTCTGTGCGCCTGCCTGTGTTTCCATCTGTTACCAGATGAATGTGGATGATTTCCTACACAGCCTGTGACAGGCTGAGAGTCGCCACGCGTTCGTGTGGCGTGGTTCCTGATCACATGAACATGAATGATCTGTTCAGAGCTGCTGACACTTGTTTACTGTTTTAAAATGACTCCAGATATTAGAGCCCCCCCCCCCCCCCCCCTTCCGTGCTGCAGTGCATGTTTGTTGTCGGTGCTGACAGGGCGGGGTTTGTGTGTTGTTCGCGATGCTGCTCAGGAGCACGATGTGGAGACGGCCCACGGCGTGCTGCACGTCACCATGAGGGGGGCCGCTAAAGGCAACCGGCCCACGATCCTCACCTACCACGACATCGGACTCAACCGTGAGTAAAACACGGACACGGTTAATGAAGCAACGAATTATGTGACAACAAAAACACAACACATTGTTTTCTTTGTGTTTGTGTGTGTGTGTGTGTGTGTGTGTGTGTGTGTGTGTGTGTGTGTGTTTGTGTGTGTGTGTGTGTGTGTGTAGATAAGTCATGTTTCAACAGCCTCTTTAACTTTGAAGACATGCAGGAAGTGACGCAGCACTTCTCAGTTTTGCATGTTGATGCTCCGGGACAGCAGGAGAATGCTCCTATATTCCCTACAGGGTAAAACACACACACACACACACTCACACACACACACACACTCACACACACACACACACACACACACACTCACACACACACACACACACACACACTCAGCATGCTCTGTTGGGTATTAACACACACACACAGGTGCCGTTTTCCATGGTGTAACACTCACCAGTGTTTTCTTGTGGCTGATCTGCTGTTAACACAAAACTGTCCCCATTGAACAGCTGCTGTGTTTCTGTGAGGCTGTGTTTTTAAATCAAGAAAACTACCTCGGAGGATTGTGAGGACTCTGTTTAGTGTCAGAGCTGACGTTAGTCATTGACTTGATTTTTATTTTGAAATCAGAAAATGCATCAGATTTGTTTGAATCCAGAATATCAGAGATATTAAGTTAAGTTGAAGTTTTATGTCGTTACTGTGCAATAAAACCTTCTGGAGTTCAAATCTTAGTTTAAACCTCAAAGACTTTATGCAAAAATAGATTCTGCAAAGAATAGAAAAAGACTATATTTAATAAAAACAGTTATAATGTTGCAACAACATACTTCAGGAATGCTTGCTGCTTTTTTTAAAAACCCGTATTTAACCTGAAGTGTCCTGATATTTGCAGCATTTTGACTTGTTAGCAGAAACAGGAGCTGTCAGAGAAACCTGCACCAGCTTAGGAAGAACACTCTTCCTTTACACACAGTTACAGTGGTCGGTTACATTAGTAAGTGTCACGTTAACACTGGACCCTAAATCTATGCAGAGCTATTGTGTAGATTATGCTTCTTCACAATCTTCTAATTTTCCACTCAGATTTGTAAATAATAAAGCAGAGAGACAGACGGTGTCAGACGGTGATTGTTCCCACCTTCAGCTGTGCAGTAGCAGCTTCTGCTGGTGTGTGGAAACACAGCTCGGACAATCGACCCACAGCGGCTGTACACTGTGACAGCAGAAGCAGTTTGTTGTTATGAATACGATTACATCTGATAAGAATGATTTTCACAGCACTGGATATTATGATCGCTGCACTGCTTTAACTGTCCACTGGTTGCAGTTAAAGCAGGTTTGGATGGGGCAGGATGCTGAGCCACGTTCCTGATGCATCCATCAGTGTGTGCATGATGGGGAAAAGCTGTAGAACAAAGTGCTGCAGGACTGACTGTGTGGAAGGGTTAATGTGGCCTGTGATGAATGCCAGTTCTTTATTTCAGCAAGAACTTTGTTTTCTCTTGTTTTCAGGCAATAAAAATGACTTTATATTATGTAGTGGGTTTACATTACACAAAGATGTTGAAAATAATTTATAATAATTCATCCAAACCGGTATAGTAGTAGTGACAACAAATAATGACCTACAAAGTAAACAGCAGCAGACTAAATCTAACAAAGAAAGATGATTTTCTAACAGCGCTTAAAATGTTGGTTAGTGATGTGTCGGTCGCGAACGACACTGCTCTTGGAGCCAGATCTTCAAAGTGAACGACGCAAGCCGGCTCCTTATTGGGAGCCGTGGTTTGTTTTTTTCCTCTCTCTCTCTCTCACTTTTTTCCGCTTCACTCAGCACGTGAGCCTTGTGCTTTGCGCTGGGCAGAGGGGGGAGGGGCGGTAGTTACACTCAGTAGCACAGGAACAGAGCGGGAGGGAGAGAGAGAGAGCCAGGGACAACAACGTCACATTAGAAAGGTATAGTAATCATCCACAACTATTTACAGCTGTGGATGATAAAGGATTCAGAAAGTTTATTCATGCAGGTCCATATGACAGAGAATGTGCATCTTCTTTTTGTTTTCATATTTTAATTTATATTTAATTGTGTTGTGGTTTGCAGTGTTTTGTGTTGTTTCACTTTAAATTTGTTTAAAAGGAAAAAGCTGAAAATTTAAATAGTCAAAAGTTAAAATGTAAATAGTTGGTTTTTGTATTATATGATTTATTCGAATAAATAAAAGTATATTTACGGTGGCCCCTACATACAAAACACGTACAAAACACAACAGAAGTGCTCCAGGATGCTAGGGGGCAGTGTTGAGCTTTTGTTACCTGGTGGCTACACAAGCCAAGAAGTACCAACGACCAGATTTGTTGTGTGGTAGTAACAGGTAAATGAACTTTTTTAAAATTATTTGAATAAATATGAGTGCTTGTGTATAAATACACAAACAATACACACATGCTTTCAGTTGTGTAATTTAAGTGATCTAGTAGCTCTGCTTTGAAGTTCAGTTAAAGCTAGAAATGTGTTTTGGAGTTTTGTTTATATATAAACATATATAAACAAAACCAAGTTGTTTTTTTTACATTAGTAATTCCTTTTGTGCATAATTTTATATTGTTGCTGATAATAAATTAATTAAAGCAACAAAACAACCTGAAGACAACCTTCCATCTTTTGGAAGTAAAATGACACACAGACCGCCTACGATGGTCTCTGTCTTGACAAAATAATAACCCACTCAACTATTCTCCAGGCGTCAGTTATTTATAGAAGTCAGTGGCAGTGCTGTCTTCTTTACAAGCTTCTCCCCGAGGTTCCCCGTCTCTCAAAAGTTCTGTTCTACACAAACGAAGACTATCTGACACTGACACACTATCTGACACACATCTGTGTGTCAGATGTGAGTTACTCCGTCCCCAAGTGGGTGTGATGTCCTCTGAAGTGATGTAAACATGACTGTGTGTGTAGGTACCAGTATCCCAGCATGGATGAGCTGGCTGAGATGCTGCCATCTGTCATGACCCAGCTTCAGTAAGTCTGCCGTCTTCTGTTCAGTCAAGTGCATGATGGGTAATTTTCAGACTGACAGCATACCCTAATGTGTATCTGTGTGACATCATCAGCATAAAGAGCGTGATTGGTATCGGCGTTGGAGCTGGAGCATACGTCCTCACCAAACTGGCAGTAAGTAGCAAACAGGACGGGACAGGAGGGACAGGAGGGTCGCTGGTTTTCAGTCTTGATGATGATGATGATGAAGATGATGTAACTGATGACGGTTGTTGTCGTGTTTCAGCTGAATGAGCCCAGTTTGGTGGAGGGTTTAGTTCTGATTAACGTTGACCCGTGTGCCAAGGGTTGGATCGACTGGGCTGCCTCCAAGGTAACACACGCACGCACACACACACAAACTCTGGATACCGACTCCAGCTGTCCTTAAACATCTGCAGGTGGAGAAATGTGGAGCCAGGATAAAATGAATACGTATGATTTGTTTTTTTTAAGTTTGCATCTTTTGAAAAAGAAGAAAGTAAACAAAGAGGAAGTTTGTTAATTGTATTGAACTAAAAGTCAACTTCAGATACTTTCTTATCGGTAATGGTTTGAAAGAAATGTTCTCACCACCACTTTTCCATGTGCATGCATGTAAAGCCAAAAGGAAGAGAGTGCAGTACTAAGACCCACACAGAAAAAAGTGAGAGGATGCAAAGCATGAAATCGAGAAGCTGCAGTGGAAGTGGCTTGCAGAGTGGCTTGCAGAGCCAGCAGCAACTGAAAGCGGGCTGAAGCAGCTAAAGTGGCACGTGCCATATAATATTTACCAAGAGGATGCACAGAAAACTGTCACCATGCTCAGTTTTGAGAAAATTATTATTAAGGTGTTTTTTTTTTTTTTTTTTGCCACAAAAAGTCTGTGTGATGTCCGAGCGGTAATTATTCGATGGATGCACAGTGAGAGGTTCAGCTGTGCTCAGGCAGCATCCTCGTCTAAACCGCAGAGAGCGGGTCGAGTGAGTGAGAATACGGAGCAGAAAGACACATCTGCAGGCGAGCTCTGAACGAGCTCAGGTCTGTCTGCAAGCTCCAGAGTTCAACTGTCCTTACAGTTAGTCACTGCGTGTGAACAGAGACAGCATCATTTAAACTGTCAGCCGAACACCAAGAATCAGTTTGTCTGTTCGTCTTTTGTCTCCTGCAGCTGAGCGGCTGGACAAGCAACCTGGTGGACATCATCATGGGGCATCACTTCAGCACTGTGAGGACAGCAGGCACTGCAGGCTCGTTCTGTATGACTCTAAGCTGTGGTTAACCACCACTGAAACCTGTGTGTGTGTGTGTGTTTAGGACGAGTTAACAGAGAACAAGGAAATAATCCAGACGTATCGACTCCACATCTCTCAGGATATACCACAGGACAACCTGGCCATGTTCTACAACAGCTACAGCAGGTAGGACACTGAACACTGTGGATGTGATGAATAAATGCAATTTATAAATGCGATTAATCCTCGCCTCAAATCGTCCTCCACAGCTGTCGGTTTATGTGGTGGAAACCTGGATGTTTCCTGCTTCAGAGCTCGATCTGAAGCTAAAGTGATGCTTCATTTTTCAGAAGCACCCTGACCCAAACACTGAGGTTGTTTGGACTAATTGCATCTTTCAGGGCAACAAAATGCTCCGTAATTATCTGAGAAACAGTGTTTAACAGAGAGCAGGCTGCAGAGCGCACACTGACAGCTTTGCTTTCAAGCCCCTGTAATCATCATCAGTGACAGCGGACGGGAGCTGGAAATAAGAGCTGTGCTGATCTTTAGGAAGAAGACACATGTGTTTTGACAGCTCAGGTGGCAGAACAGACATCCTCACATCACAGGTGTGAGCAAATCATTATTCACATCAAGTTTCAGTGCAGAGTGCTAACAGGCTGAAGGACCCTTCAGAAAGCTTCAGATTTTCATTGGTTTTATCGTTGCTTCGATCTGATCCGAGCTCCTTACAAAGAAAGAAAATCCCAGACTCACTGATGCTGCAGCTCACTGTGTCCACTTCACTGCCTTACTGTGTGTGTGTGTGTGTGTGTGTGTGTGTGTGTGTGTGTGTGTGTTAGTCGCGCCGAGCTGCAGATGGAGCGTCCTGTCTCTGGTCTGAATGAGAACACAGCCACCACCGTCAGGTATGTCTTCGTCTTCTTTCACCTCGTTCAACATGTCTGACGGTCATGTGACTCGTTCCGTTATTCGGCGTGCTCGTTTCTCAGGTGTCCCACTCTGCTGGTCGTCGGGGACTCGTCGCCTGCCGTTGATGTCGTGGTGAGTGGCTGCCCTGTTTCCATGACAACAGCCAGTAAATGATGTCACATTCTAGTGAACACTGTCTGTGCGCTCTGCAGGTGGAGTGTAACTCCAGAATGAATCCCACCAAGACCACATTGCTCAAGGTACCGTCTCTACTCATCATTTTATTTATGAAACCTGATGATGTCACCTGGGGTGGGGGGGCTAGTTAGTTGGATTAGCTGCAGTCGTAAACTATGTGGATGCAACACATGTATCAGCGTACACATACCAAGTAAGGGACCCATAAAAACACCCGAATTTCACTCACTGCAGCTGAAACACAAACATCTTGGATGGTCTGAACTGCACAGCTAACCATATCAGTACTGTTATGTTAGGCTGCACAGTATTTATGTTTCTAATAGAGTCTCATATATCATAATAAATACCCTGCACCCTTTAAAACTCCCACCCTCCACAGATCTGGATTTTTAATTTTTGTCCTTCAGCTGTAAAAGGCTAAAAGGTCATCCGCTCACCCCGCTGGGTGGGCGGATGACACGGTTTGACTTTCTGAGTTTAGAATTTAACTTTTAATTGTTTGTCTTTGTTTCTATGAATTTATCGTGAAAGTGGGATTTTCATGGGGGTTAATTTAATCTTTCTTCCCATCATACTCCACCACCACTGATGAGGGATTATTGAAATGTGATCTGAATATCCAAAAATTAATCTGCTTAATAAATATTTCTCAGACTTGTTCAGACTGTTTAAAAGAGTCTCTGTATGTCTAAGGCTGCGTTCACACTGCAGGCGAAAGCGCATCAAATCCGATTTTTTTGACCCTATGCGACCCATATCCGATCATACTATGACAGTGTGAACGGCACAAATCCGATATTTTCAAATCCGATCTGGGTCACTTTCGTATGTGGTCCTGAATCCGATACATATCCGATGTTTTAGAAAGCGACTGCTGTGTGAACGGTCAAGTCGCATTAAATCCGTCTTTTACGTCACTGACACAAGACAGATGCTAATTATCAGCGCCAGAGAAGCGCCCGAGAAGACATCGTGAACGCTTCCTGGCCATCTGGTGAAAGTGCTGGGAAGACAACGTTGGAGAAACGTGAACATTTTATTTGTACTGCATAATCTGCAGATTCTGACAGAAATCTGCAGCTATCCTTTGAAGCACCGCTCGTCTAAAACAGCAATAAGGATCATTATTAGGTTATTTACATTATTATGTAAATAACAAAATAACTTAAAGCAAAAATTGGGAAACATGAAGTCCAAAGTCTTTACATTAAGGGCCATCAGTCAAACATACTGTTTGCTCTGGGTCTAAACAGAGCGCGTTGTGTGTGACGTCTTCTTTTGCGCATGCGGCCACTTTGAGGGTTCACACTAGAGCGCGTTTGCTGTCGCATTTTATTTGTAGTGTGAACGAGCAGACAAAAAAATCGGATTTGATCAAAAAATCGGAATTGAGCATTAAGACCTGCAGTGTAAACGTAGCCTTACAAACCTAGACTTTAATGCGCTTGTTAGTTTTGGTCATCATAGCGTTTAAAGCAGGGGTCTCAAACTCCAGTCCTCGAGGGCCGCTGTCCTGAAACCTTTCCATGTGTCCCTGTTGCAACACACCTGACTACAATTAGTATGTCATTAGCAAGAGTATAGAACTTGACTGCATGCTGAGGAGGCAATTCAGTCATTTGATTCATGTTACAGCAGCTCATGAGTGAATGAATGTTAGGGGTTGCCACCTCAGCATGCAGTCAAGTTCTATACTCTTGCTAATGAGCTACTAATTGTATTCAGGTGTGTTGCAACAGGGACACATGGAAAGGTTTCAGGACAGCGGCCCTCGAGGACTGGAGTTTGAGACCCCTGGTTTAAAGGGTCGCTGTTTTATCCCCATGATGTTTTTTTGTGTCTCCACTAGATGGCAGACTGTGGAGGACTTCCTCAGGTGGTTCAGGTGAGCCTCAGCAACTCCCTGCTTGTTCCTTCTCCTCCACCATGTTGTAATAATAAGAAAATAATCCTGTTGTAATAAAGATTAGGACCAGGATTTGTCCTTCATATTTGAAGTTTTGAAACTTAATACAACTTTAATGTTTGTAGTTGTTAGTAATTGTGTCAAATTGAGGAAATTTGTGTTTTGTTTTTCACCAGCCTGGAAAACTAGCTGAGGCCTTCAAGTACTTTGTGCAGGGGATGGGTTACAGTGAGTACCATTTCATGACTCCCCTTAATACTAAATGAAAAGCGTCTAACAGTTTGTTAAGTATGATCTCAGCTTTGGTTTATGGTTTGCACATTACCCGAGAGTTGTGCACTGTATTCAGTGTAAAAACATATGAATTCTACGAGCAGCTGGCCAGTGGTTCCTGCAGTTGCTGGCTGTCGCCGGGTGAAACTGGTCACAACAACGGTGCTGTACCAAAAATCTCTTTGTGATCACTTTGGTCACATGGCCACAGTCGCCTGTAGTTTATATGGAAGACGCCGACGCGTCTGTAAAGCAGTTCAGACACGCAGTTCAGGAAAAAGTGACATCACCAGTAATGCAGAATGCTTGCTTTTAAAGTAAAGGTACACATTGAAACATATTAGCTGTTTTGCTGGAGCACAACTTTTACTTTGAAAGTGAGCCGTTTCCAGTTTGTGTTTTTCACTTTCATTACTACTTAGAGAGCAGTGAGCGAGTGTTTGCAGACAAACTACGGGCGACCTCAGCAGTCTGCTGGCAGCCGTAGCAGCACCACATTCCTCTTCACCATCAATTTGATGGCAGCACGTTCACACGCCCACAGTGGTTGTGCGTTACGTTTGTAGACATTTCCTCCTGCAGGACTAACGCAGCGTGTGGTGCCCTCACACTCGTGTCTTTGTCTGTTTGTCCGTCTGTAGCTCAGCTTCACTAGATTTTCTGTGTAAGTAACAGTTTGCACAGCATGACCTGCCTTAGGATTTGTTGTAAACACACACACCTGATACGTGTGTGTGTGTGTGTGTGTGTGTGTGTGTGTGTGTGTGTGATATTAAACTACAGCATGTTGGTTTCTCACCCTGCCCTCCTTCCTCTCTGTTCCTGTTTCTCTCTGTTGTTCTTTTCCTCCAGTCCCTCATGTTGCTTTACACCACATCAGCAGCCAATCAGGTATCAGGATTCCAACCAGAATCTGAACCCCTCTCGTCCTCTCCATCGTCCTCCCCCTCATATGTGTGTGCATGCTGACGTTTTTCTTCCTTTGCAGTGAGCGACCAGCAGGCTGCGCTGCATGCCAGCACATCTCTCTGTTCACACTGTCGGCTCTCGGGCTCGACTCTGAGCTGCTGCTCGTGTCTGAAAGGCTGAAAACACTGTGACATGAGAAAGCTATGAGGCCGAGAACACACCTGTCCCACTGCAGGAATCCAACACTTCCTGTGAACTCTTCTGCTTTGTTTCCACTGCTGTACAAACCTCAGCACTTCAGAAACATGCTGCACAAAACGAAGTACCTCTGAAAGTGTCACTTTTAACACAGTTTAATCATAACACCGGGACACTCAGAGAAGAGACAGAGCAGGACAATCATGACTCAGTCAGATGGATCTGTGTTCGCTTAAGTCGAAGTGAGTTTTCTCACATGAACAGAGGGCTGGAGAGTTGGTCAGGATGTGTTGCAGGTGATAGTCTGCACCTGAACCATTCGCGGGGCTTGTGTTTAGATGAGGGAGCGTGCAGAGGGAGCCCACACACTGGACCATTAGCTTCGAGTCGTGTCCTCCTGAAAAGTAGTCATCCGTCCGGACAATGAGAGCAGTGGGGTGAAAGCAGAACACGTGGACTTCCTGTTGTGCAGAAGGCCTGAGTGTTACAGCGGCTTCTCTTCGTCTGTGTGTAAAGTGAGCGTCACGCATGACAGGACAAAGCTTCAGTGTGAACAGACTGTCATCAGATTTGAATCCAGCGGCTCGGCTCACCGCGGACGATTCAAATCAGCCTCCGCTCATACATTCGCTGGCTCCGCCCTCTGTTACTCTGTCACTAACGCGTTTTCATCTGTGTCGCCCCCTCAGTGCCCACGGCGGGGATGACCCGGCTGGTTCGCTCCAGGACTCACTCGGCCTCCAGCGTGGGCTCCACAGACGGCGTCCGGAGCCGCAGCACCACCAACGAGGGCGCCAACTGCGCCGAGCCTGACAACACTGCAGTACACACCGTTGAAATGACTGCATAGGACTGTTCCCGTTTCCTCTGTGTACCTGCAGTTCTCTCGTCCAATCAGATCCTTCCTTTCTTTTAGTTGTAAATGTTTTTCCTGAAAATAGAAAGCCCTCAAAAGCTTCACTTCCAGCTGCCTGTTCTCTAAATTTGTTCCCTGTGAGTTTAGGGTTCGTTGAATGATGTCATAAACATTTCGGTGTTAGCTGCCGCCATGTTGGCTCCTTTTTCCTGCGCTCTGTAGGCGTTACTGCACACAGGTCAGTCGGTTTGTATGTATACACAGCTGTTGTGTTCCTTCACTGCTCCTTTCTCACTCCTGATTTCTTCTTTTAGTCATTACTCTTATATAATCAATATTTTGTTTATCTTTGCTGGTGGTGTTGGTTGATATGAAGCTCGTTTCTTAAATGAACCCTTCTTTGGTGCCCATTACAAAGTGGATGTGCTTCCGACCCAGATGTATTTTTGTAATCGCACTGACAGAAGATCTGTGACGCGAGTTTGACCTGGTTTAACGACAAAAAACGGCATCGCGAGCTGCGGTTCCCTAAATGGTTCCCTCGGTGTTTGTGAGCGTGCACCATGAAGCCGGGTCCTCGTACAGCTCAGTAAACACATTAAAACATGAAGGTCAGTGGGACTGAACTTTGAGCTGGTTTCGTCCGATGCTGTTTTGCTGATGTTTAAACGGGATTTTCTGTGGCCGTACAATTTGTTTTGCCTGAGCTTCAAGTGTAAAAACAACTTAGAGATTTTTTTCCAGATAATTTAGCGAAACATCCTGAAGTCTGCCTGTTACCTCCACAGTCTCCTCTCTTTCCCGTCTCTGAAGCTCGGTTCATTCGGCCCGTCCACAGCATGCTCCTTGTAGAGTGTTGGCATGCAAACTGTGCCGTGGTGTCAGTGTAGTGAGTAATGAGATGTTGTTCAGCTGTAAACCTGCTGCTCTCCATCTGAAACAAACCAAACCTCAGATGAGGATTCTCTAGGCTGAAGCTGGCAGCAGGGGGCGCTGGAGGTGGTCGTAGTTGCTGCAGAAATCTTGGAGCATTTCTTGGATTCTGGTTATTTGTAGGAATTGTTTTTTGGGAAAAAATGTTAATGAAAACTTTCACCACAAGGTGGCGGTGTTTTACCAGAAAGCTGTGATGACTGTGAAAGAAACACTACTGTACAGATGTTAACGCTGATTCACGGCTCCATCTAGTGGATCAAAGTGGTATTACGTGATAGTACAGCTCAGCCTTGTTTCAGCATTGGCTGAGATCTCTGCAGTACGTAGATGTTGTAGACATGAGATGGGAGCTGCTGTCAGTTTTCTCACTGCATAATAAAAGTGTCACACTTGGCAGAAGGCGTTTCTACTGGAAACAAACAGCTGATGTTTAAAAGAAACAGAATGAACCAGGGTTTTTTCACCCACTGAGAAGCTGCTTTTCTCCTACAGTTGACAGCAGGCTGTTTGGCTTTCTTGGAAATGTCCTGCAGCTTTCAAGGAACATTTTCTTGGAACGTGATGGAAAATACAGCCGAGGCCAAAGGGTGACCTTGGTCATGGTGTTGCTGCCCCCTGCTGGACGATTCAGCAGGAAACGAACGCCAGTGTTTGTCAGCAGCTTTTCATGTCGACTCTTATGAAACATTCAGGTTTGGCGGGGACAGCAGGGTCGACCCATAAACTGTTCACTTCCTTTCTTCTCTATATTCTGACTGTGGTTCTGTCCTTGTTGTATTTATTACACTCATTTGTGTATTATTACTTTGGAAATTTCTACTGAAGCTTTGGTAGCGGTTCTGTTACAGAGAAGTTTGATTCACTGGATGTTCCACGATGTAAACACGGTTTGTAATGAAATAAAACTCGTTATCCAGAGACACGGTCGAGGCCGAGCGTCTCAGCTTTTCTTTAGTGGCTAAAAATACTCACATTCAGATTCTACTGGAAATAAATCAGCTGTTCAATGAAGCTGAGTGGCACGTCCATAGTGGGATGTGGTCCAGAATAGTCCCACAGCGAGAGAGATTCTGATTCAAGTAGGGGTCTTTTGTGGGCTTTCTATGTCCTCTGTGGTTCAATCACGTTTTATTTAACAGCACCAAATCACAACAGTCACCTCAAGGTGCTTTATATTGTAAGGTAGACCCTACAGGTTCAAATAACTATCAGTGATATCTCATGTTTACCTTCACAACAGTCTCACCTTTATTTTCTCAAAGATCTCAAAGCATACAGAACACTTCTGCTGGTCAGCAACAAATATTTAACAGCTTTTGAGGTTTGAATTTAAAACTTTTTTCACAGCTAAAAAAACCCCCAGAAAGCAGCAGAAGACAAAATCTGACCGATGAACATCTAATCCAATGATGCAGCTTTAAGTTTCTTTACATTATTTTGCAGGAATGCGTGATGTGCTGTTACAGTCTTGACTCTGTCAGCAGTGAACAAGTCTGATACTGAGTGGGCAGCTTCGACGCGCTCGGCGGGTCGCTGGGGTTTAGCTGGCAGCGGCGGGCGCCGTCTTGCTGCAGAGCCGTGCGAGCAGACCAGCCATCTGCAGCAGGGAGTTCACGCCTTCAGCTATCCGCATGTGGGTGTAGCCGATCTCCTGCAACAGAGAAACATTGAGATGGGACGAATCTGCGTGTAGAGTCGTTGATAAAGGAACAGCTGAAACCTTTAGGAAGCGTGAAACTGCACGCCTGCTCGACTCAGACGGTCAGAAATGAGACAGAGTTTAAATGAAGTTACCTTTGAGTATAGTAACGGAAGAATCAGTCACAATACTCAGATTACCAACAGTTTTTACTTCAGTCACACATCTGACCTGGTAAAGTTGGTTTCTATTTTAATAACTTCAGATGTTTCCCACAAAAAATATAAAAGCAACTCAAAGTAGCCTGAAAGTACACCAAGAGTATCCCAGTGAAATTAAAATGTACAAAGATCCGTGAGCTCTGAAGCCAAGACTTGCTTCAAGAAATTATTTAGAATAAAAAGTAAACACAGGGATTTCTACAAAGCAGATTTCAACACTTGAGCTCCTCCAGCTCAGACTGAGCAGCAGCTTGAAGCTGCTGCAGTGCTCGACCGAAACGACGCCATAAAGTGCTCACGGGTTTCTGCCTAGAGACGAGCTGATGAGTGGGACTGATGGATGCAGACGGTCGGTCATGGTGAAGCCGTTTCACTCCTCGATCCGTTCCCGTCCTCACCTCAGAACAGGACAACATAAATAAATCATGGAAGCTGGAATGAGTTTCCGGGGAAGGAGGTGGCTGTGGAGAGGAAAGTCTGGATATCTCAGCTCTGACATTTGCCCTCAGGAACACGATCCAGGTAAAAATCAGTGTTTGGGTGCCTGAGCTCAGAAAGTTCAGGAAAATTCCCACTACGAAAACCTAAAACATCCAGATCTGTAACAGCAGCGGGGAGGGCGTCTGTCAGCCTGTCCTGTGGTGCTACCAGAGCAGTCCATCAATGGTGTTCAGCACTTTGTTTAAGCTTTCCTTAAATCAGTAGCCATCAGTAGAACTGCTCCTCAGTTATTATTCATATTTCCTGAGCGCTCAGATGTACGCAAGTGGCCACCGTCCGCCCAAGGCAGCAACCCAGCAGACAGCAGCATCGTCCTTCCTGTTTCTCTGCGTGACAGGAAGCTGAAAAGGAAAGCAGATGACAGCTGCTCGAACCAGCACAGTTGACAGTAATTTAAATTTAGAAAACAAACAGCGGTACGTGAGCCCAGTGAGAGTAAACAGGCGTTCAACTGCTCTACCGGAGCACTGAGTAATCACATCCTGCATGGGCGTGGCTTAGCAGCCGCTGACTTATGCCTGGGTGCCGCTCACAGTCACAGCCTTGCAAAGAGAAGCAGCTCTGAGTCCCGTCCCCTAGTTAACAGAAAACCTCCAGAGTGTGTGAACAGTGCTGACAGTCCCCCGCGGGTGACTCCTCCATCCATCCAGTCAGCAGGGGATTTCCCCGTCAGGTGACTCAGGAGGGAAATTCAGTCACATCTGGTGCTCTAACAGGGATCTTTGTACAGCAGCGTGAGACTTTACTTCCTGTTCTGTTGCGGAAGAAACCTTTGGTTGAAAGTTGGTTTCAGTTCATTGCCTACAGTGCAATAAAAAGCAATGAGTGAGGCGTTTCCTCTGAGTGAGCGTGGGTAAACAGAAAAACATGACCTCACCGTCAGATGCACACTAATAAATCTGACCTCTGCTACTATTCTGAGCAAAGGGCTCAGACCCTGATCACATGATCTCACAGACCCGCTGGGCACGTTTGCATGTAAAAGTTCTCAGATGTATGCTGATCCTCATCTGTGCAGGACCTTCCAGAATCTGGAGTTCCACTCTGAAGTTAACAAGGAGCTGGTGCAGTGAATTAGTAACTGACACGCGAGTACCTCGCAGAGTCCTGAGCAACCTGCTGACGCTCCACGATGAACGTGATGAAATAAAGGAACTCAACTGTAAAAGATTTCAGTGATTTAACGTGAGCGTTTAAGTGAAAGCTGAGTCAGAAGTTACACCAAAAGAGGAAGCGGCCACAGAAGGACGCGCTCAGGGTCAGCAGCAGCATCTGTTCCACGCGGCAGGATTTCACCGTATCCAAGTAACATTAGGGTTAACTCTCGGGTTTCTGTACTCCGAAGGTGGTTCACTTCCTAATGGGGTAAATCGCCATGGCAACTTATACTGCAGACCAACAGGTATGAAATTATCGTCTACTGACCAATCAATTCTCCAGAAAAAGACTGTCATCACTCCTGGATGATTCTCTGCTGGGAGAGCAGGAGCGTCTGAGGAATTTGTGTTTGCCTGATCACTAACAAATGTTTACTTCTTTTTTTCCTGTTCGCAGCACAATCAGACACTTTTCTGTTAGCATTAACATCTGAGGTTGTGTCCAAATTCATGGGCTGCATCCTCCTGAGGACCCGGCCTTCTCTGTCTACGTGGGCCGGGTCCTCAGAAGGTCGGGTAGGCCGGAAATAAACAGATGTGAAATGGGACGGTCTAGCCTTCAGATTTGTGTCACCGCTGACTCAGTGGAGTTTAATGAACTCTGCCGTCTGCTCCTTGCTATCTAAAAATATAACGGGACACTGGCGTAAATTCTTGACTGTCTCGGTCAAGAATGTGGTGTATAAATGTAGTTCTACCTGCTCGCCCCCCGATGTCTCACACTTCTGTTTAATCAGTTTTCTGGTTGACGTTATTCAGCTGTGTGAAAACTAACTTTAATCTCAGCCAAACAGATTTACTCACGAATAAAACACTGAAAAAGCCAAACAGTAACATTTGTAGGTTGTCTAAGTGACTTATATATCACGTTTAACCTGAGTAGCGAAAGACAGCGATGATCTGAACATGATGTGCCGGAGTTGTGCCGTTCTCGACGACTTCAGTGACCCTCGAGCTCCCGACTAGCAATCGAGCTGGTGGGTAACAGACGACTCCGAAAACATCGAAGCACTTTTGCAAATATGCGATATCTTGATAAACCGAGCAGATATTTGATGTTTACACAGCTACTTTCTCGCCTGAAAATATGTTAAAAGTTTATTTTGTGACCCAGAAAGAATAATAAGAGTAATTTTAATTTTAGTAGCGGCCGCCATTGTTGAAAACTGGAATTGGCTGGGCCGCGCTATGAATTCTGGGATATGGTGGGCCACGAAGGACACACCCAACCCATCCTTCAAATTCGGGGAAAAGGAGGACGCATTCGTCGGCTGCATTCGGAGGAGTCGACGAATTTGGACAGCCTTCGGCGCGTCGCTGTGACGTAATCGGTCTACGAATGCGGCCTCAGGAGGACGCAGCCCATGAATTTGGACACGCCCTGATACTAAAACAGAACAACTACACTCTCAACTCATATCTTGTACAAACACTATATTTGAATTCGGTTTATATATTTAATCTCAAAAGTGCATCATGCTGTGACGGGAATGTCCTTGAATTACTGTGGTGATGTATAAGTGTAGTTCTACACTGACTGCTTACCTGCTCTTCCCCGATGTTTGGTAAATGAGTCCAGATAACGACGCCTGCCTACGAACTCACTTCTGAAAACACTAATGGCGGCGTACGAGTGAAGGGCTTTATTTATTTTTATAAACTGCTGATGCTGATATAAAAATCTGCCTTCACAGAGCAGCTGCCATGTGCTGGGACCACCAGAGGTTTACAAGTTGTCACGATCAGCTGATTTTTTTCGGCGCCGTTGATGAACTCACCTTGATGAACTCCAGCTTCAGGTACTCGGCCATCTGGTAGGTCTTACAGACCCTGAAGATGTTCCCGATGATGTCCACTGGAGAGTAGCCCAGCGCCCACAGCTGCTCCACGACTTTGTAGGCCTCGTCGATGTTCCCGTCCACGCAGTGTCCCAGCATGCTTTTCACCATCAGGGGGTGGGGCTCGTCGCACACCTTAAACACGTTCTCGCTGTTGATGTAGCCAAAGCCGGAGTGAGTGGACTGCAGGTTGTTCAGCGCCTGGAGAGAAAAGGCCAAAACAAGTTCAGAAAATCCATGTTCAACCTCTGGGATGAGCGCCTGACTAAGCTCCGCCCCTCACCTGTCTCATGTCTCCCTGCGCAGTGAAGATGATGGCTTCCAGTCCATCGTCGGACACTGAGAGGCGCTCTTTCTCCACCACTTCCTGCAGCCGGACGAGGATCTGGCCGTCGGTCAGTTTGGAGTAGCGCAGCACGGCGCAGCGGGACTGGATCGGCTCGATGATCTTATCGGAGGCGTTGCAGGCGAGAGCGAAGCGCGTCGTCTTCGAGTAGATCTCCATGATCCTCCTCAGTGCCTGCTGAGCTCCGTCTGTCATGCTGGGAGGATGGAAACGTCACAGA